TTAGACCACCATTGAAAACTTGGAAGCACCTCAGTACAATAGAAGATGGTCACACAATTTCGTGGATTGGTTGATGTTAAACAATAACACCATTGGATGCCGGCTCACTAGTCCAGTAGGTTAAGCATTCGCGTGTGAGACTGAAGGCACTGTGTTCGAATCCGGCGAGCAAGATCGCGGATGCGCACTGCTGATGAGTCCCACAATAGTACGAAACGATCGTCTAGTGCTTCCAAGTTTTTAATGATGGTCTAACATCAATCGGTTCATGATTTCAATCAAAAACTTAATAATCTCCACATCCCCTAAACTGATACATAACAATAATTGGGATAATTTTATCCACTTTTGAATAATTCACTTTTTATAATATTCGGAACTTGATTAATTATTCACTTTGATTATTCATGCAGATTAAAATTAAAACGTTGATTATATTGTCTAATTTCTCTTTTCATAAATGATTCAAAGAATTTCTTTTATTAAAGAATAGTGTTTAATGTATAACTTTTTAAGTACATGAATTGAATATTGAATTATCAAAAGTATATTAAGTTTTGTTTAAAACAATTGTGATAGAAATAAGAAAATTTGAATTTATTAGTGTTATCACAAATTTATTTATAATTAGAGAGGAGTTTTGTGAATATGATAATAATTTAATAGTCGAATTCATAAGTCTATTAAAGTTAAACTGATAGGTCATAGGTTTGAACTTCGTGAAAGGGATCGTGGATGTGAACTGTTGAGGAGTCACATACTAGGATGAAACGACCAGTCTAGTTGAATGAATCGTCACAGTTTTGATAATCATATTAATCAACGTTTCGTTAGAAATTTAACATTTAAATGTTCAGATATGGTACCGTTTAAGTGAATTATTTTAAGCGGGTTAGTGGTATTCTTTTTTTAAAATGAAATTAAGGAGTTAAGATGTGTCCATAATATTTATTCTTAATTGATTACGCATTAATCAGTAGTATAAAAAATTCATCCTAGTAAATCAGTCATTTAGTTCAATAATTGAAAAAAATATCTAACTATTTGCTATTTGGTTAACTTGTTTAGATTAATAACATGAATTTATTCACTGTAAAAGAAACAATGTTTATGACCAATAATGACTTATATTATTTAAGTACCAATGCTCACTATAAAATATTTATTTATTTAAACACATAAACATTGTCACAAGGAGGCACCAAAGAGACATGAGCCACATAAATCATTCGGTTTGTGTGAGGGATGGGATACTGACCGGGTGCCTATGTGGTGTGAACTACTTATATCCACACAAGAAGTATATAACGATGGTCAGACATAGAATAAGTTTCATTAGAAGATTGATAAGGAAAGAACGGAGACGGAACGTAATTGGTATGAAAATGCATTAACAATAAAATCTGAGACAATGGACTGATATTTGCAAAGGAACAGTCAAGTTTGAGATAATGGATTGATATTTTGAAAATCAACTATTTACTATATAGTTCTCAGATTCTATTAAGATATTCTGCGATTTGATATCAAATACATTCGATTGTCTCCACTCGTGTTCTTGTTTACTACACTCAGACCGAAGCAGGTGGTTTCCTTATGGGGCCACGCCTGAATACTTCGACCCAAAGGTCTAATCCACAAAACGATGGAGCAACGTCAGGAGATGCAGTCCCATGGTAGCCGGTGACAAACAATAGGTTCCCTCAGGATTCTAGAGCCCGTGTGCGTGACTGGCTTGGAATGAGGGTTTTCCAACTCCCCAAGGTGGATCCTCCATATCCACTAACTTGGTTAAAGCGCCGGATATTCGATTTTCGTCCTCTCAATTTCTTAAGTAACAATGATGCCGCGAAAAGTCAGTGAGCAGGGCTTCCCTGTCAGTGGTTGTTTGCACGTGACTATGTGAGAGGATTTCGAAAGGGAGAGCTGACTCTCCCTTCTCTCGGCCGAACTAGAGCATTTACTATATATATATATATATATATATATATATATATATATATATATATATATATATATATATATATATATGCTCCCATTGTTCAGCAGATATCAAATACAATTTATTACATCATAACTATTGCTTACGTTATTAAATCAGATGATTAGATTTTTTCATGGATAAATAATTTTTTATTCTCCGTTTTTTTTGCTTTTATAAACTAGAAAAAAAAACTTCTATGAATAAATATTGACAAATAAATTTGTCTATTTTTAATGATGCAATAAATAATTAAATAAAAATCAGAATGTTTTTCTGTAGTTGTCTCAATTTCTGTCTATAAATGAAAGTTGAATATATATTAACATAGTTTTTGGTTGTTGTTGGTGTTGTTGTTATGGCAATAATAATAATAATAATAATAATAATAATAATAATAATAATAATAATAATAATTTTTCATATTGGACATGTTTATAATTACTGTAAACATATGTTGTTTTGATAGTAGAATTCCCATTCAATGTTTAAGGCTAAATAATTAATTATATAAATGATTCAATATAAATAATAGTTAACAGTAGTGATTATCATCATTGATCTTATTTTGATGATAATAATAATAATAGTGTTATTATAAGATTCCTTACATTAATAATACGTAAATATGTTTATATTAATATTAAAAATACACTCATTGTATAATGCATTATGTAACCAATTTATTGTGTTACTATGACAATTGTAACATTACAAACTACATTTTAGTAGTTATAAATATATTTGAAGATAATTGTGTTGAAGAGATCCAGAATATTTCTTTTGTGAAAAAAAGCTCAAAGGAGCCTTGAAAACGTCTGGAATATTTTATACAGTCAGCAGTGAATAGATCTTTCTGAGAAACATCTAGAAAGTGAAATATCGCATTTTTGGATGACTACCTATCCTGCTGTTATGTTTATTAAGTTTCCAGAGCTTTTCAGAAGCTCGAGGCTATCTAAAATGTTATAAATACCTTCGAATTTCTGTACAAAAACTAACTTTAGAGTAAAGGTTTTTTTCTTCACATTTCGTGTTTTTTCTCTTATGTTCAAGTTGTCGTGTAGATATAACTTGGGGTTGTTAGAAGAGCTTAGAAAACTGATTCAAGCGTTCAGTTAGAATATTTATCAGTTTATAAGTAGGCTGTGATAGTAGCTAAAAAAAACTCACGAATAATCAATAACATTGAATGACTGCTAATTTCAGTGAGGAATTTCTTTCATATTCTATCAGTCTATATTCTATATTATGGATATTTCTAGACAACTTCTTTATTGCCACTATTGTAGCTGAAAAACGTTCGATCAACACCGGCTTATATGGACAGTTATTTAATTAATTAGCCATGTGTTAATTCATTGTTTAACTTTATGATGAAATTAATATGAAGTCTAAACGTTCAACAGTGACTTTTCATTGTTAAAGTGTGTAGAACTACATTTTAAATAAAGAAAAAACCGCAGGAAAATGTCTTTGCTTCAGTTATCAGAGTAGCTGCAATTCAAGCATGATAAAAAGTCTATTTTGCCAGCAGCGTTTACAAGAGAAGAAATAATATATAATGGTCTTATACTTCGAGTTCAGTAATACGTATAGTTATCATAGTTTTCCTTAATTAGAATACTGTGTTTTTTAAAATGCGTACAGTTAAGATCTAGTCATCGCACAGTTGTAACGGTTTCTAATCAACCTTAAACTATGTAGCAATGTGTGAGAATTCAACGTTCGAATTGTAATTTACAAAACAATTAAACAGTATGAAGATTTATGTAGTATTTTCACAGTTGAGCTCGCGAGTTGATCTAAGGTAGAACGCCACTGAAAACCTGGAAGCACCGGATGACTGTTTCTCCCTAGTATGGGTTGCACAAAATTATGGATCGATAGAAGTTAGAAATTAACACCAGCTCAGTGGTCCGGAGGTTAGACGTTCTCGCACGAGATCTAGGGTCCTGGGTTCGAGTTCCATGTGCAGTATCGTGAATGCTCACTGTTTAAGAGTCCCATACTAGGACGCTTAACCTACGGACCACTGAGCTGGCATTCACAGGTGTTAATGCCTAACTTCAATTGATTCATGATCTTTTGCAACCTATACTATGACGAAACGGACATCTAGTGCTTCCAGGTTTTCAATGGTAGTCCAACATAGACCGACGCGTGTGTTCAACCGTGAAAATAATTAAACAACGAATCTATATGAGAAAGTGCGATGTGATTTGTAACCCAGTTAATAACGGGCTGATAGCCTATCTACATCGTATTATAACTTTACATGCTGAATTGTCTCACTAGAAAGTTTAAAATATATTGTCTATTGGTTGTTTTTAACTAAGGCACATAACCATAACTAAAAAGTGAAGAATCTACTAGTAAATACTGAATTTGTTATAATTTGTATAATGTATTCATTTTGTTCGCGTATCAATCAGCATAGGAGTAGGTTGAATGAAACGTAGGGTCTGATATCAGCTTATGAACTTATTAACGTTAGGTTTTAGTGATTATCATTTGTGTAGACTACTTGATCATAATCATGACCAATCGTTTAACAAATGTATACACATATATATCTATTTCTTAAATTATTCAAAGATTATAGATTTATAGTTGGTTGTTTAGATTTTAAATTTTACACAATACAACTCCGTAAGTTTTGAAATAAATAGTTCGTCATTGTTATGCTGTCATAGTATAATCTTATAAGAATTAAGGGTGCTGATTAAATATGATAAACTATGGGGTGGTGGAGAAGATTTGTAGCTCAGGTGGACGATTTTGATGGAGTTTTGTTCTTTGAGCTGGATGGTTTGGTTGTGGAGCTTTCATCGTTCTTCTGAACGACATCATCAACACAAACTTCTCCATCAAAATGATAATCTATCCTTGGTCATAGTGTATAAATCACTAAGAATTAGTTAGTATGGTGACAGATTAATGATAGTTTTTTAATAATTTCAACTAACTTTTCATAAATTACAAAAAAACCCTGTTTATTTGATCTTTTATTCATTAGTACAAAGGCGTTAATTACTCAAGCTATTCTGAACAATGACTTCATGAAACATTTAGATAAAAGGCAAATATCTAAAATTGTGGATTCAATGTGTCCTTTGGGCTGTGCTAGATTGTCATGGATTATACAAGAAGGTGAAGTTGGTTCGGTTGTTTATGTTTTAGAAGGTAAGATGAATAATTATATCATTTATATAAAATTGATTGATCACTGAAACATAGTGATTACTGTCATATTTTTGTGTAGTTTTCTAGTACCGATCAAAATCTATTGAATAATTTGCAGTGTAACTATAAGAAGATTTAGGTTTATTTTTTCCTATTGATTACTTGAAACCACTTAACATATAATTTGATGCTAAGTCTATTTTCCACAAGATGGATCTGGGACATAAATATTATAATCAAGTATCTAATGTATTGTCTTGAAGATTTGGCAAGATAAGACAATTTAGGTCTTTTAAACTTGAGTTATTTTCTATATCTTATATTCTGTGGGAATGTCTAGCGTAGAGCAATCCCTTATGTCGAATGAAAAGAACAAGTGTAATGAAAGTGCCTGAAATGAAATATCATACAAATATTACACTTGAATAAGAAAGAATCACTGCCTGACTGAACAAAAAATGGCTTAAATGTTTGAGTTTGACATAAACTTGATGAAATTTGTGGATAGACTTAGCTTAAATTGACATACGTTGCGTTACGTGTATGTTAGATTTCTATATAAACAAATAAATAACAGAAGGGGGTTTTGTAGAGATTTTATTAATTTAATAGTTGAATTTATGAGTCAATTAAAGCTGGATCACTATGGGAAACCCAGAAGCACTGGAGGTCCGTTTCGTTCCGGCATGAAATTCCTCAGCAATGCGCATCCCCAATCCAGCCCGCGCGATTTAAAACCAGAACCTATCGGTCTCGCTCAACCTTTAAACCACACAGCTGGCATCCATAGGTGTTAATGTTCAACTCCAACCAATCCACGAAATTCAGCAACATATCCACTATTGTCCTCAGTAAGTTACTATCTTACAACAAACTTGGTTGAACTCCAATGGTCACTGCTTTTCCCTAGAACTCCAAGAAGTGCCTCTTGAAGCCAGTCACTAGTGAGCACATGACGATTATTATCAGAAGTGAGTTTTGTAGAGATTTTAGTAATTTCTAAGTAGAATTCACGAGTCAGTTAAAAGTAGATCACCATGAGAAACCTAAAAGCACAAGATGGCCACTTCATCTCAGTATGGGACTCCCCAGCAGTGCTCATCCTCGAATTCTATTATTAAATACATAAATTGGAAAATAAATAGTTCATCAATATGCAGTTTTCTTTTGGAATAGAGAAAATCATATCATACACATTATGAATTAGTGAATTTTTAATGTGTATGAAAATCTGTCATAAGAATTTAAATTAAGCTCCAGTTTTAATTAACTAATGCTCTAAAAGCATCTTGTATATATACTCTGGGAAAACCCGACATAAACCAATAATAATAATAATAATAATAATAATAATAATAATAATAATAATAATAATAATAATAATAGGATTTAACAAAATGAAAAGAGAAAAAAAGAAGAAAAGAAACACACATAATTCATTGCATTATCTTCTTTGATAAGAACAAACAAATAAACAAACAAGAAATATCATACATTATAAACACATTAGTATATAAAAACTGTTTGTTCCCATGTTATCACCTAAATGGCTGGAATACTAATGTATAAATAAAAACTCATATAGACAAGTTAAAATAGAATGTCAGAAATACAAATTTTTCCCTTCTATTCATTAGGATATAACAAAATATACATTTATTACTATTATTATTAGTTCGTTTACTCAATGCTTAATTTATGTGAAATTATCATGTCTAACTTTGGAATTGATACCTATTTAAATTGATGATTATAATTTTTGCATTGACAGATTTTAATCGTTTCATTGGAATTTCTCTATTTTACTATCCATTACATTAGAATAATATAATTTCAGTAGTTGAAATCATGAGTCAGTTAAAACTAGACCACCATGGAAAACCTGGAAGCACTGAGCGGCGTTTTCGTCCTAGTATAGGACTCCTCACCAGTATGTATCCACGACACCGCCCCCTCTCCGCAAGATTCGGACCTAGTCTCGCGCACTAGCGCTTAACCATTAGACCACTGAGCCGCCATTCAACGGTGTCAATATCTAACTTCAACCAATCCGCGAAATCGAACCACCGTACACCATTGTCTTCAGTGAGTTGATATCTCACAACAAAACATATTGAACTCCATACTAAGACGAAACGACCGTTCAGTGCTTCCAGGATTTCCATTAAGGTCTAGCTTTAATTGACTCATGATTTCAACTATCGAAATTTCTGAAATCTCCACAAAACCCCTTCTGATAATAATATAATTCATTACTGTGATCAAATTTCTCTTCATTAATTGACTTCACATTATTTTACAATTATGTCGTTAACATTATTGTGTCATTAAATAATTTCGGGGGGGGGGAGAATTTGTTTTTTCCTTCTTCTCATCTATTGATTAACAAAATAGTTGCCTAAAGGTAAAGAAACTTAGATTTTAGTCAGTTAATGAAAACACGACTTTAGATCTTTTCTTATAATTGAGTTCTATTGATTGAAATAGTATATACTTGTTATTTTTATTTAATTATGTCAAAAAGAAAGATAATAGCTGTGTTAAGCAACTTGGTAATTTATCACTTGTTAGAAATCATAACCTTCTGTTCACTTAATACAACTTAATAATTCTTATAATCTTTTCAAATAAATAAAGGATTAAATAAAGAGCGAACATTTTAGTCTTCAAGGAGTATATCTTCATACGCAAATGTAATATCAATGGTTATGATCATGAGTCAGTTGAAGCTAGACCACCATGAAAAACCTGGAAGCACTGAACAGCCATTTCGTCCTAGGTTCGAATCTCGCAGGGGGCGAGGTTGTGGATGCGCGCTGCTGAGGAGTCCCATACTAGGAAGAAACGGCCATCCAGTGCTCCCAGGTTTTCCATGGTGATCTAGCTTCAACTGATTCATGATCTTAACCATTGAAATTACTATAATATCCACAAAACCCATCTGGTAAATGTAGTAATTTTCTATGGTAAACGTTAATGAATTTATAAATACAACAAGAAACCATCAATATTTGTATAAAAAGTACTTAATTTGTACTCTTTTGATTGCATTATTCTAACCGATATATTCAATTTACCTAACAACTTTGCATTATTTCTAATTGTTTTGAATATTACAATTAATATTTAATTAGAAATCATTATTTTTTTACCGTTTAATTTCATGAAGGATTTGTTACACTAAAAGAGGAACCTACACTAAAAACAAACAAACATATGTAGTCATAAGAATTAACATAGATTGAAACTATGTCTTTAATGCGTTTAAATCTATTCTTTACTAATCATAATTTGGAGTTCATCTTAATTTTGCACATGTTTTATTATTTTTCTAAAGCTGTATCTTAAATAATCATCATAAACTTTGATCATTCTAACCACCTTATGATTGTTAAGTAAAGACAGGTCTTATGCTACTCTTAGATTTTAAAGGGGTAAATTACTTAGTCAGTAAGGAAAAAGTACGGGTTTATATTAGATGTTAAACTTTTCCATCAAATCATTATTTGACTTTAGTCTGAATCCAAGTGAGAGACTATACAACCAACCTAGTTTGTTTACACTTTAATTCCTTTTACTGATTTGTCAAGACATTGTCTTTATCTTGTAAATACTTTAGAAGAACGTATCCACAATGTTGAGAAACTTAGTTCTTAATGTAAGTCACACATAGTAACATTCAGAGACCTTTATTATGAGATTTCCGGATATCAACTTATCATCTGTAGGACTGACTTGTTTACACTCATTGATTACTGACCACTTAATATTGTTTAGTTGTTTCTAGAGATCATGGTCTCAAAGATCATTATTGAGTTTTTCGTTATATCTGTCTCATATCTTGAGCTATATAGTAATAGAATGAGTTGAATTAAAAGAAGTATTAAATAAAACATTTTTTTACTTTCCATAGAAATTATATTCCTTTTTTTATCATGCAGTTATCCAACAATATAATGTCATATGTTTTCCGTATTTACTAGATGGTTACGTTGAAGTACAAAAATCTGGTGAACGTCTACGTGAGATGGGTCCAGGTACAGTTTTTGGTGAATTGGCTATTCTGTACAACTGTACAAGAACAGCTAGTGTGAGAGGTAATTAAAAATATTTGCTCTTGAAATATTGATCATTAAATTTCCATCATATTTTGAGTAGTCAGTAATAAAAATTCTAATAAAATTAAAATATATAATAAATAATTTAGATACATAATTATCGATTAAAGAATGAAAACTTTGACTGTAACGACTAAAATATATATGATAATGTATAGATGCAACGTGCTTGTACTCAATAAAACGTTTGTAATTCATGGCTGACTTGAATATAACTTTAGTTATATGTACAAAAAAAACACTTAGATAAATTTGTAGGCTAATATTTATAAGTAGTCAAATAAAACTAATCAATACCAGAATTTATTTGTCATCATATTTGCAAGGCTGGGAAATAATTAACCCAGAGCTTAGATACAGAAATGTGTTTACATCATGAAATGATACACTACGAGTAAGGAATATATTCTACTATTATTTGATCATCAAAAATGCTTGAAAAATGCAAAGAAAAAAGTAAATTGATATAATACTATAATAATTGATGACAAATTATTAAAGAATATATTTATCAAGTTTAAATCATGAGTCAGTTGAAGCTAGATCACCATTGAAAACCTGGAAGCACTGGACGGCTGTTTCGTCCTGGTATGGGACTCCTCAGCAGTGCGCATCCACGATCCCGCACCACGCGGGGCTCGAACCCAGGACCTACGGGTGAAATTTCTTAAACTCTCCACAAAAACCCATCCTGAATATATTTATCAAATAAGCTGTTGTGATAAGCTTAATTAATTGATTGTTTTAAACGATCGTTTACGGAGTAGTTTTTACAAAAGAACAGTGGAATTTTGTTAGGTATGCAAAGGAATATACCAATAATTATCGTGTTAAGTCGAATGGTGTCCTTGGACGCTAAATGTACATTTCCTATTGGTCGATATTTGTTTCACTTGTTAAACATTGTGTAAATGTTGTTTTCTATTTTATGGTACGATGTGGTTTGCTGGATTAGACTATAAACAGAGTATGTTTGAAATATAATGATTCATATCTCAGAGGCTGTGACTTGCGTTCTGGACTAAACTGGCTGGGATAGACAGGGGAGCAGGGCCAATCAGGACACTAGGTCGTTCCTTACGTGTTTACGTGTGGCTGAATCGATCGATAAATACGCTGCGCATCTAACCTGCAGTCTCACACGTTACAACAAATTTATTATAAAAAATAGGATTTATCTTGTTTCCAATTAAATATTTTGAATTGAAGGTATATTATTCTGTCTGAATATTCACAATGTCAAGTTGTAAGAGAAGGTGAAGCAAAGTTATCAACACCTTAAGATCGTATCTTGTTGCAGTGAGAAATTTACAAAAGAAAGAAAGTTTTGAAAAACAGGAAATAAGGTGAATATTTTCATCATTTAGTTATTTCAATTGGGAAAATATTGAAAACTAAAAGGTACTTAAAAGTTATTTGGTTTTAGAACAATAGTGGCTCTAGAACGGAGAGCATTCAGTATCTTTTAGTTCGAAATTTATATAAGACCTATTATCCATCGATCTATATAATAACGTAGCACTAACGTAGTTGATCGGAAGAAGCTATGTTTGATCTCTTAGATAGATTTGAGTATAGACTGTTAAGATCTTCTAATCAACTTTTAAAGGTACTTAGATTCTCCTAGTTCATAATAATATGACAGAAAACTCATTCAACTAAAAATTATTGATATCTATTTGAACGCATTTCTTACAACTATAATAGTCATAAAATTATTTATTTCTTGTCATTAAGTTCTCATTTACACTTAATTATTTATAGCGATAACCGATTGTAAATTATGGGCAATAGATCGTCCATGTTTTCAATCAATTATGATGTTTACAGGAATACAAAAACAAACAGAATATGTGAAATTCCTAAAAAGGTAATTCATACATATGCATAATTTATAGTATCTTTTGTATTTAAACATATAATAAGTATGCAAATAAGTATTATGTTTGATGATGATAATAATAATGAGAATAGATTCGTTATAATTGAAGAAACAAACTTGTTACCAAGACTTAATTTTAATTTAATTCTATCTTATAATCATATGAATTAAGATTGTGACATTAATTTCATTTCATAATGTTAAATACTCAACCAAATCACTTATTAATTTGTATGGAATTTATTCAATATGTTTAATTAGATTCCAATAATGAAGCTTTAAGAACTAACATTTCACTTTTCAACTTCAACCATTCTATCAAAATCAGTCTGCCAAACATATGACCTATTAATTGGTTATTTATTTATTAATTTTATTTGAACATATAAATATTGGTACAAAGAAGCACCGAATACATATGCGCCACACAAGTCACTTGATTTGTGTGAGGGATGGTATAGTGCTCGGGTGCCCAAACCGAAGCAAGTGGTTTTCTTATGGGACCACACCCGAAGTCTTTGACCTAAAGGTCTAACCCACAGGTTAGTGGAGTAATGTCAGGAGATACAGTCCCATGGTAGCCGGTGACAAACAATCGGTTCATACGCCATTTGTTTCCTTAGGATTCTGGAGCCCATGTGCACCATTAGTTTAGAATGAGGGTTTTCCAACTTTCCTATGTGGATCTTCCATATCCACCAACTTGGTTAAAGCGCCGGACATTCGATTTTCGTCCTCTAAATTTAGTAAATAACAATAAAGCTGCGAGAAGGCAGTGAGTAGGACTTCCCTGTCAGTGGTTACTAAATAGTTGTTTTGTCATAGTGTTATTTATTAATAAATTAAACTGATTGTATAATGATATTGCTACTGATCATTTCTTATTATTGCCGAAAATTATTGAAAAAAAATTGAATTACAAAAAGAGTCTGTGTTCTTTCTTTCTGAATGATCTGATATCACAATATATTTCGTCAAGTAATGTAATAACTGATTTGTTGTCATACAAACTTGGGAATATATTTCAATATGATTTGATTTATAATTAATAAGTATTATGTTTATTTCCAAGGTATTTTAGGTATCCTACAGTTTGATACTTTAAAACCGAATCAACCATTTATATTTTACATCCTGATCTCTACCAAACATCATACTATAGAATATTTTACACCCTATCATAAAATGAATGAAGCATAAATCTTTACATAACATATAATTAGTTTTGTTAATGTCTATCAATCTTTTTTGTACGAATGGATATATTACTTAAATTTTATATAAATGATTAAAAATCTATCTTACTCATAAAAACTTACTTACTTACGCCTGTTACTCCCAATGGAGCATGGGCCACCGACCATCATTCTCCAACCCACTCTGTCCTGGGCCTTCCTTTCTAGTTCTATCCAATTGTTGTTCATTCTTCTCATGTCTATCTCCATTTCCCGGCGTAATGTGTTCTTTGGTCTTCCTCTTTTCCTTTGGCCTTGAGGATTCCATGTGAGGGCTTGTCTTGTGACGCAGTTGGCTGCTTTCCTCAATGTGTGTCCTATCCACTTCCAGTGCTTCTTCTTGATTTCTTCCTCTGCTGGGATCTGGCTTGTTTTCTCCCACAGTAGGTTGTTGCTAATATTGTCCGGCCAACGGATCTGAAGTATTTTGCGTAGACAGCTGTTAATAAACACCTGTATCTTCTGGATGATGGCTTTAGTAGTTCTCCAGGTTTCCGCCCCATACAGTAGAACTGTCTTGACATTTGTATTGAAAATCCTGACCTTGGTGTTGGTTGACAGTTGTTTTGAGTTCCAGATGTTCTTCAGTTGTAAATATGCTGCTCTTGCTTTGCCGATCCGCGCTTTCACATCTGTATCAGATCAACCATGTTCATCAATGATGGTGCCCAAATTTACTCATGAAAAGTCACTGCTAAACCACAGAAAAAAAGAAATCGAATTGATATATCTTAAAAAGAGATTGGTGCGGTAGTGTGGGTGAAACAAGATATTGGTCTGCAATATCGACTAGTTTAGATTTAAACCAGCCTTTCTTTTCTTCACTAACTGGGTGCAGCTCTTTAATTTGATCAAGTAAATTCTCAAATTGAGTTTCTGTGTCGATTCTGTCGGCATGTGTTTTGGGGATATGAAATTTAAATCCAAGTGACAAGGCTTGATATAATTGATATAATTCAAAAGGTGTGAATTTATTTTGGAAATGAATTTTACAGATCCATAGAAATCAGTTTTTACATCAAGTAATTAAATACTTGATTTTGAATTTCATTGAACTGATCATCAACCTACAATAAAAACATTTTACTTGGTACATCAAAATGTGACGCATTATAGACCAGTAGTATTTTACTCATACGTACAGTTTTATTTTCTCAAATTAGGTTTGATATCTCAAGTCTTAACAATGCTCTCAGTGGATTAGTAGTGAGAGATGCATTGATTTTATTTGTATTGTATCATTTGTTTGAGAATATTTTGGTTGATTTTGGCTTTATCGTATGAAGTGAGTTCAAACTCTGACATATTTCATTCGAATTCAACTAAAATAGGCTTTAAAGTAAAATTATTAAGATGTTCAAATAAACAGTACTTCTGTAGTGAATGCTACTCATTTTATATGTGACACCAATCGGAAGTGGAATAACTACATGAGTTTTCTTTCACTATACACTTCTAGTACTTTTAGTTTTACTGAGTTTAAAATGTTTAAGAATAATTGTTGATCCGATCAGTTCTATCGATTATGAATATTTCTAACTTAATTTCAAAAGATTCGTTCAAATGTATTTTTATTACCCTGAACTACGTCATTTATGTCATTTTTCTTGATGTGTTTGTAAAATAGAACAGACATAGTTTTAAATTCAAGAAAATATGTAATGCAGTAAATATAAATTTATCATAATCGTTTAAAATTCAGACTCAAAATGACCACATATACACCTCTAAAATGAGATAAGTTTTTATAAATTATAATTTTATCACTGTACTTTTAGTGTTCCAACATTTAAAGATCTAAATTTAGAAGTTCTTGGAAAAGTTGCTGTTGTACTTGGATCAGAACATTATGAACCTGATGAATATGTCATTAGAGAAGGTGAACGTGGAAACACATTTTACATTATAACAGGCGGAAAAGTAAGTAAATAATTTTATATTGATTGTAATGTATCGCTTACAAAGTAATCTTTCAAAATGTGATACACTCAATAAGCTTTATTGTAAACATATTTAAGTTGATAGCTTTTAGGCAAAATGAGAACTTAGCATGCTCATAGAGATTTATTTTATCTTGGGACCTATGAAACAAACGACGTTTCATCTATGAAGATGTTTTGTAGATAACATAGTTTGATAAGTAATCAGATAAATTTTCTGCAAAAGTGTATAAAAGAACTTTAGTTTTCATTGATAAAGATTTTATTCGTATATCAAAACGCTGATCAAACCAAATAAAGCGTTTGAAACGGAGAAATATTCACGAAAAACTGTGTAAATAAACGTAATTTACGTGTAAAAAACTCTTAAAGTTTCATGAATAACAAATTGTCTTCAAAAGCTGTATTCTTTTGAGAAAATTTAGCTCTAAAACTGTTGTCACTTGAAAATGCAGTCGGACGTTATTTGATTAGCAACGTTGAAGGCAGAAGTATTCAACACTTCGTTTATTTACTCCTATAATTTAACTCATTTTAATATGAAGCCGGCAAATCGCTCTTTGAAAATAGTGTAGTGGAATAGTATACGTTTCATATTGTAATCTAGATTTACAATCACTCCAGTCTGTGACTAAGTTTTGAAAATATTAATGTAGTTAGAACAGTTTTCTTCTGACACTGAAGTGTCACTTAATGCCGATATTTAATTTTAGCTAGAAGATAATGAAATATAATTTGTAAGATCTTATTCAGTTGCATTTCGATTAGTTTGTTCATTTAGATTCAAAGGAACATATGTGTACATTTCTGAGAATTAAAACACAGATATCGTTAAAGTAAAGTAATTACATATTACTAAAGTTTAATAAAATACAAAAAAAAATAAGAAAGAGATATGCTTTAGTGGCCCTTAATCTGACCCCAATTAGATCATATGAATGATTGCTGTCGAAATATATATCCTGGCTATCCTCATATATCTTTATCGACTTAACTCGCGTTAGTGAATAGTGAAATTAAATGAGTCAAATACGAGGATGGATTTTCGAATACGTATAATATGTACAATCATTGATCTGGACAGACAATCAGAGGGACAAAGCAGATAGAAGAGAGTAAAACGAAATGAAACTCAGTGGAGAAGGCATGTAACCCAATTCCATTTAATCAAGATTTAATCTGTATTTATAGTTACACAGAAATAACTGCAGGCATGTGATGATTAGGCTAAAATGTACATACATATACGCTCATTTAAAACAGTCAGGATTGATAAGTGAATAACTGACAAGGTCAAAGTGTAACTCAAATGGAATGGATAAATTGTCGTGTCCAGAAGCTAAAATAAATTATATGGTCTTAACATGGCAACCGACACTACAATACAATACACTCAATAGTTGAACATTATTCAATCTGTAAATAGTTGGCTAAAGAGTTATTAAACTTTACTAAGCAATGAAAAACTATACTAATTATCATAATGTTTATGTAGATTAGTATTCCGATCCATAACATGTGATGTAGATAATTAATTTGTCTGAATCTAATCTCTGGAGGACATATGAAAAGAAAGGATTAAATTTTTTTTATAAGAGTAACAATTCTATGTATGTACTCAATCAAGATTATTTCACGATAGATTTCAATTTTAGTTCAGTAGTACCTTGAAATTTGCTTGAAAGTTTCAATCAACTTAGTTTTTAACATAAATTTCATAAAGTTCAAAGAATTACGTAAACCATTTAGATACTAAGGATCTACTAATAATGGATATTTCATTTATTGATTCCTATCTAGAATAAACTAACTTCTTAGTTTCATTGTAAAGCTTACTGTTCAATACTGACTATTATTATTGTCCTTACCATAGAATAGTGAATAACTGAATGACTACTTTCTAGGTAAAAGTGACAAAAAACCGTGGCAATGAATGCAATGAACAATTTATTCGTTATATGACACGTGGTGATTGGTTCGGAGAAAAAGCTTTAACTGAGTAAGTTCCTGGTAAACAATTAATATGATTATAATGAATTCATTTCTCAGTTATGTGTCAGAGTAGAAAATTGTATTTCTGACGTTTCGTGATTTATTGTGGGCCACTTCATCAGAGTAAAAATATAACCGAAATAAAATTACCATAACCTTAACCTTACCATTGATACTTATAATTAAAGTGATCGTGTTATTCATGTCTTTGATTAATTTTCTGTATAACAGTTGATTGAGTTAGGAGATTATTAATTTCCATTTGGCTACTTTAACAGATTTATTAAATCATATTAACGAAAAAATATGTTAGTTTTTCCTAGTGTACGACAACTTTAGTCTCAATCACTGAATTATATCTATAATAACACATAGGACTAACAATAATCTCTACAAAATGTTTTCTTGATACAAATGTAAATACAAGATAACGTTAAACATTCAGTCAGACAACCTAATAACTCATTGAAATAAATTAAAGCCGTAATACGGCAACCATACCGTTTTTTGTTACTTAAAATAAACTTCATAATTATATACGTTTATTATTTATAATTATTCCATTGTGTTGGTATACTGTTACCTGAAAATTATACATTTTGTTGTTGTTAATTTTACTTTTACTTATAGTGAAGATGTTCGTACCGCAAATATAATTGCGATGCCACCACGTGGTGTAGATTGTTTAATGTTGGATAGAGAGTAAGTGAATACGTTTTCATAACTGTTGGCATTCAATCATAAACGTTTACTGTTATAATCTATCAGATACTACTTATTTTAATAAAATCTAGTTTACTTTTAATTTATTCAAACTTTCTGCAAATGACAAATCTGAATAGTGATTACATCTGAAATGATAATAAAATGCTTTAAGTATTTAATAAATAGATTAAATTGCTATTCATAAATTCATTTTAGACTACATAATTGAATAAACAGACGTACGTAAGAATAAATGCGTGTCGCTAGGTTATAATGTATACCTTGTGTAAACATTAATATACAGAAATCCATAAGACTTAAATACAACAACAAGGTTATTGTTATAATCATCATTGATGATAAACAAACTTGAAATGATATTAAAATGCTAAATTTTAACACTAGGCTTTTTATTATAATTAAATTGTGTCTAACATTGGAATCCAGAATACATGTTTCGTCTTAATTAAGATGCACCAGATGGATGTACCTGGATTTTTAATGCAGTAACAATCAGTATGAGCAACGTATTATCAAGTGAGGTGTTTGTTTCACTAGCCAGTAAGTATCTGGTTACAGTAATTTGATTGACTGGTATTCTCAGCTGGTATTATTATTATTATTATGTTATGAATATAATTTTCCTAGTGTGGTAATTATTCAACAAAGAATAAACCAGAGTTATAATAAGTAAGACTTAATTTAGATATTACCTTCCACATTTAAATCACGTTCAAGGTAATAATAATGATAAATATATAAACGATGATCATTGAAATGGTAAAGCAGTTTAGTGTTTAAAATAATGTATTACTGTTTTCTCTCTATAATTAACAGTTCATATAATGTACTCATTAAAGATTTAGTCAGCTTTGAACGAAGTTATCCAGATGAAAAACCTACTATTAGGTAAGTGAACAATTAACGTTTGTTATTTCTATTAAATTAAACATTTAATTAATGTATTCAATATATTCTTTAATTCATTACTCTTTTTATTTGAAAAAAAATTTGTGTGTGTGTTGGAGATATTTGATCCCCAGAACTTACATGCTAAAAGTTTTATTTTCGCAATTTTATTTTGGAAATTTGAATTTCTTGTTGTTGTGCCAAAAGCGCTCATTTTTACCTTCATATCGTATTTCCCACTTGGGACGACCTTAAATGTCATTGGTTCGTTGTCGCTTTTTTAATATGCTATTTTATAACGTTTCCCATGGACATTTCTGTGCTGTATATATACGGTTGAATTGCACTTGTTATTGTTAGTGCTTCTGATTGCTTGTGGAATATATTTCCCTCTTCTGAACCTGGACTTCTATCTCTAGTTAGCTGGGCTGGGACACATTGAAATAATTAGCGTATTTGGTCATTGTGTCACTGAGTCTTTGTTCCGTTCGCAGATTAGGTGAACACATAATCTCTTCAAACATAGGAGAGTGCACTGAAGATGTCAAATGTTCACTAAATATTGTTGAGAATATGTTGTTTCAACCGTATATTTCCTTTCATATCATTGGACAATAAATGTAGAACATCTTTTGGGCACATCATCAACCATCATTATACATATGTTTTCATTCATATCGATTGATCCAAACTATAATAATTAATGTTTTACAAAATAGGTTATGAAAATTCTGAACAGAAATTTTTGTTTCTATATAAAGATCATGATATTATTATTTACATTGCAGATACGATTCTGATCTGCAACTGTTCACAGAAAAGATTTGCATTTTGACGTCTGTACTCCAATAAAGTCTTAAAAAACTAGAAAATTAAACAATTTTTTCAAATAAAAACATTAAGTTACTTGATTGTTGAATATTGGTAATTGAAGGGAACATTTTATTTATTCACATGACTATTTCTGAGATCGTGGTTACGATATTCGTTACCCGTTTTGGACGAGATTTGTAAAATATATTTATCGAGAAGAAAGTGGATATTTCATAATATACCAACAATTGACAAAATATTCTGGCTTCAAATTAACACTTTGAAGTTTAGCAATCGTTAGATTATAAACCTTTTGATTTTCAGTATAGTCATACAAATTACATTACTCTATTGGTATAGCTGAGTTTTAGCGGTGGTGGTGGTAATGGATCAATATTGTGTGACTGTAGTTGAAAATGTGAATGATCAGATATCAACTCATCATTAATAGTTAACACGCTCATAGTAAGGAGTAATTGTTATGCATTTAATCTGTAGTGTAGATGCGATGTTCGAAACTAGGATGAAATAAATTCATGGTGCTTCCTGATCAATGGTTTTCTAGATAGAGTTAATGTATAATTTACATCACTACAATCTTCTTCAGATAACAATTATAGAAATAGTAATTCATATATTGGATGAAGTAAAAATAAATTTAATAGCAGATTACTGAAAATCATCAAATTTGTTTCTATATAAAAAAAAACGTGTTGCTTCATTCTTTAATTTGCCCAGTCGTCTTTAGCAACTCGTATTATACATTTCGGACATATTTAATCTGTAACTTGGTACATAGTTCACTATTCTAACAAGCATCGTAGTATAATGTAGTTATTTATGAATGTCTAACTGTAGATGCTTTCATACAATGATTATAGATTTTTAACTAATCAGCTGGCGAGACTAATTTATAGGCGAGCTAATCGGGTGTAAGATAATAGGTCTCGGATTTTGGCGTGAAATTCACTCATTCATTTGATTAAATAGAGTTTTGGCATTTTAGCTGATGTCAGTTCTTGATGAAATCACAAAACCTAATTCCTAACCTAAACCATCAACTGTAAATCATAATTCTAATCCCTAGCATTAACTCATCACCTTCATTTGGTCCTAGTTATTAGGTGAACACACTCAAGGTCAATTTAGCATCGTTCAAAAGTCGTCCATAAAATATAGTCTCATCAAACAGCTTAATAGTCAAGTTATTTGGAACAATTTTTACTAATCGAACATTAAATATATTTTTTTTAAAAGTGAACATAATTTGTAAGGGTCCTGAGTTCGAATCCCGCGTGGCGGGGTCGTGGATGCGCACTTCTGAGGAGTCCCATAATAGAACAAAATGGCCGTCCAAAGCTTCCAGGTTTTCTATGGTGGTCTAGCTTCAATTGACTAATGATCTCAACTATTGACATGTATAAATGGTTGTAGGTAATATTACCTTCCTATATGAATAATAATAATAATGATAATATAAGCCATGAAATTATTCTATAAAATACTGTTTAAATGATTACATTAACAAAAATGATAATACGTTTCAACTATAATAATGTACCGATTACTGTCAAATAGATCAAAACAATCACTTAGGTATGATAATAAAAAAAATGTGAATTTTTCAAAATATTTTTTTCTTGAAGGCTAAATACTAGAAAAAAAATTCTCAAAAAGAGTCAAATAAACAATATTGATAATCTATTGCAAAGAAGATCAATGTATTCATAATATTTTATGTTACTCACATAATAATTTAATAGTGACTTACTTACTTTGCTTCCTTACGCCAGTTACTCCTCGAAGAGGAGCATATACCACCCTCTACCAATCTTCATCCATCTCTGTCCTGAGCAATCCGCTTGTAGCTCTTCTATAGCTACTGTCAGTCTCAAGCCCAGGTAAAGGAGGAGGGTTGGTTATGAACTCGCCAACCTCATTCCATAGAAAAAATCTTGCTAAATAAAGAACACTAACCTGAATAAACAATAGTGATTTGACAAAATCTAAATAGATATGAAATATTCTATAAAAAAATTAAAAATCAAATGGTTTTTATAATAGAGATTGATTAAATTTGAAAATAATATAATAAATTTTTTCTCTACTAATTCCTTAGATACAATTATCAAAATTTATCAAAATTATAAATTCATTAGGACATATTCATTATCAGAAGGGGTTTGTGGAGATATATTTCTATTAGAAAGAGATATTTCCTGTTTCTAGATTGTTCTAAACTGTTTAATGAACATTAATACACAACCGTTTTGCTGATGATGATTTCAGTTGCATCTTTTTGATTTTTTTTAATTGTCCCATGAGTAATTTCCTGAGGTCATATATAATATTTCCATTAATTTGAACTAGAATAAAATATATAAACTATTTTTGTTGTTGATAACCCAATAAAATAATATTTGTGACAATCAAATTATATCGGATGATGTTGATATGAATCACACGCAAAAGATCATTTTTTTTTGTGAAACTGAATATAAAAATTACTGTCAAATACTGATTATATTTAAGTATCGTTTGATATTTAGCGACTGCCTATTTATTGTGCATTCATGAAATTGATGGTTTTTTAAATATATAAAAGGCTACAGAAAAATACTAAAGTAAATAATCATCACCAGCATTCTCCATTCAACTATGTCCTGGATAATACTTCCCAGTTGCTATTCATCCTTTTCATGTCTGTCATCCTCTTTTCCATTTCCATTCAGGTTTCTAATTTAGCACTTGCTTTATCATGCAGTTTGCTGGTCTTCGTAATATATATCCTATCCACTTCCTACGTCTTTTTCAGATTTCCTCCTCATCTGGAAGCTGATTTGTTCCCTCCCACAGTAGTCTTTTACTAATGGCATCCGGTCAACGGATACTGAGTATCTTACGTAGACAATAGTTTATAAATATTTGTACCTTCTTGATGATGATTGCGGTAGTTCTGGAAGTTTCAGCTTCGTACAGTAGAACTAACTATCTTGACGTTCGTATTGAAGATACTCACTTTGATGTTGGTTGATAGACAGTTGTTTTGAGATGCATATGTTGTTCAACTGTAGGAATGTTGTAATTACTTTGCCGATCCTCGCCTTTACGTCTGCATCAGATCCTCCTTGTTCATCGATGATGCTTTCCAGGTACGTGTAGGTTTCCACATCATTGTGAGCTTCTCCATCAGTTGTGATTGTATTTGTGTTCTCTGTGTTGTATTTGAGAATGCTGCTTTTTCTCTTGTGTATGTTGAGGTTTACTGTTGCAGAGGCTACTGCTGCTGCTACACTGTTTTTCTTGATCTGCATTTGTTGCTGTGTATGGGATAGAAGAGCTAGATCATCTGTGAAGTCAAAATCATCTAGTTATATCCAAGCTGTCAATTGTATTCTGTGCTTTCCCTCACATGTCGAGGTCAATTAAATACCTAATTATATATTTTATAATTATGTAAATCATCACATACCCACCATATATTTATATTAATTTTGTAGTCAAAGAGAAAAACAATTTTCTGAGATCAAACTTAGCGACTTCACTGTTGTTTCAACAATCGGGATTGGTGGCTTCGGTCGTGTACAATTGGTGAGCATTTATTAAGTATTGAACTTTATATTGACACACAATTAACACATTATCTTTATTATAGCACTAGATAAAATATCTCAGATATAAAATAACTAATGTATATTCATTTATAGCCAACTGCGTAGTGTCGGTTACTATGTTAAGCCCATATAAGTTATTCTAGCCTCTGAACACGACAATTTATCCATTCTACGTGAGTTACTCTTTGACCTTGTCAGTTACTCACTTATCAATGTTGACTACTTTAAATGAGTGTATATGTGTGTACATCGTATCCTAATCATCACATGCCTGCAGTTATTTCTGTGTAACTATAAATACAGATTAAATCTTGATTAAATGGAATTGGATTACATGCCTTCTCCAATGCGTGTCATTACGTCTCGCTCTCTTCTATCTGCTTTTTCCCTCTGATTGTCTGTCCACATCGATGATTGTACAAATTATATGTGTTCGAAATCCTTTCTCGATCTAAGTCGATGAGATATACGAGGATTGACGATATATATATCTTGACAGCAATCATTCATACAATCTGATTGAGGTCAAGATCATTGCTACTAAAGCATATCTCTTGCTTATTTTTTTCATATTAGAGTCAGATATAGGGCTACCAAAATGGTGAGCCCGTCAGCAACATCGTTCGATCTAATTGACGTCTAAATAAAGGGTCCCACTAAAACTTAGAAAATTTTCAAGAAAATATTTTGTCATTCTGATCATTTATTACATATTATTCTTCAAGGAAGTGTTCAAACATGTATATAAATCGTTTAATATTCAATATCTACGAAACCTCTTTTGATACTAATCAACATATGCTCACTACTGACTGGCTTCAAGAGGTATTTCCTGGAGTTCTAGTGAGAAGCTATGATCAGTGGAGTTCAACCAGGTCTGTTGTAAGATAGTAACTCACTGAAGTCAGTGGTGGGTGTATCACTAAATTTTGTGGATTAGTTGAAGTAAGACATTAATATCTGTGGTTGCCGGTTCAGTGGACTAGAGGTTAAGCGTTCGCATGCGAGACCGATAGATCCTGGGTTCGAATCTCTCAAGGCGAGATCTTGTATGAGTACTGTTGAGGTGTCCCATAATAGGATGAAACAGCCTTCCAGTACTTCCAAGTTTTCCATGGTGGTCCAGCATAAATTGACTCATAATCTCAACTATTAAATTTATTATAATATTCACAAAACCCCTTGTGATACTAATGTAATTGTGTCAATTGAATCATATTGATCTAATTAATAAATCATTCAATTTCCAATGTATAATAATAATAACAATAAAATAATCAGCATAACTTTTCATTTATTTTAAATGTAGTAATTGTTATTTTTCTCTTTTAATGTATGTAGGTTTATTTAAATAAAGATAAACGACAATGTTTTGCTTTGAAAAAATTAAAGAAACATTATATTGTAGAAACAAAACAACAAGAACATGTTATAAATGAGAAGAATATTTTAATGGAAACAAATCATGAATTCATTGTAAAGTAAGTTGATTATAGATTAATATTCCTTTAGTATTGATGTGATTATTCATGATAATAGATAATTTAATTGGTAATATTCAATCTTCTTATTGATAATGATAAAGGAATGTATTCTTCAGATATTTAACTTAAATTTCTTTGATGAGAAATAATGAATTATAATCAAAGAGATGTTTTATGAATATTATAGTAATTTTAATAGTTGAATTCATGAATCAATTGAAGCCGGCTCAGTAGTCTAGAGGTTAAAAGTACGCACGAGAGATTGATGGGTTCAGGGTTCAAATCTCACAGTGCAGGATTGTGAATGTTCACTGCTGGGGAGTCCTATACTAAGATGAAACGACCATCCAATGCTTCCAGGTTTTCCACGGTGGTCTAGCTCTAATCGACTCATGACTTCAACAGTATTCTATACTAAATGGTTCCTTCTTTTGTTAACAGGTTTTGATTATTGAATTGCTAATAAATGTGAACATCTATTTTTTATTATATCAGATACTGGTTCCTAATGATCTTTCATATCCAGTTTGAATGAACTTTCTTCAGTTGTACAAATTAAACACTGTTAATTAAATAACCGCTTTAATCAATTAGTATTATAGTGTAATGTGAATGCTGAAGATTTGCCAAATCGGTTGTCTCTACTTGAGTTGTCGTTCATTACACCTTAACATTATTTAAATTCCTTTCATTCATTCGTTCAAAAAAATTTAATTAATGTTCTTATGCAATCTTTATCAAGTCTATTACCTTTCATGCAGTTAGTTCCCTTTATGAATTTAAATAAAGCCAAAACAAATACTGACAGAATAATATGAATTCATTATATTTAGTGGTTTTTACTTACAACTAAATATGTATTGGAATGTTACATAGAGATAAGAAATAGTATGGAACAATTGACCAATATTATCTATGACCATATCAACCTTGCATAAACTCGCTCGCTGGCTGACAAGGTGCTTAGAACCAATCTGCAAGAAACTAGCACCCTACAGTCTGAAAGATAGCTTTGAATTTGTGCAAAAGCTTGATAATATAAATGCTTCTGATAAATTCATGGTCTCATTTGATGTCTCTTTACTTTTCACAAATATCCACTTGGAAGAAACGGCAGAAATCATATGTAAATATCCTGAACTTCTGCATTTACCAATCCAAGAATTTAAACAGCTCCTGTTTTTTGTGTACAAAAAACATACAATTTAAATTCAACAATGTGTTGTACCATCAAATTGATGGAGTAGCCATGGATAGCCCTTTGGGCTCAATTCTGGCCGACGTATTTATGAGAGACCTGGAACAGAAGAAACTTAAGCACGCAATCGATGGTACCACATTCTACTGTAGATACATTGATGACAAATTTCTTGTCTGCAACAATCACAAGCACTCCATGAACATACTCGATCTATTTAATAAAGCACACAAGGATATAGAATTTACTATGGAACGCGGAGTTGGAGGTAAATTCCATTTCCTAGATCTTGGAATCAGACGAGCATCAGTTGGCACATTTCAAAGACACATTCATCGCAAAAATACCTTGAGTAGTGTATATCTTAATTCCTACAGCTTCTGTTCAATGAGTTACAAAAAAGGTATTGTACGAACCTTTTTTGACCGCGCACGTGAAATTTGTTCAAAGGAATCTCTTGATGAAGAGGTTGCTCTCATCACTAAGTGCCTACATGAAAATACATATCCGGCGAAATCCATCCATAAATATGCAAATACCAACCCTCGAGTAAAGCGTGATACAGTGGAAAAGAAAACTTGCTTCTTATACTTACGCTTCAAAAGAGATAAAATTACTAGAATAATTAATCATAGAATAAAGTTCGCGTTGAAAGTGACCTACCCAGCAAGAAAACTGACAACGGTATGGGAAACGAACTGCTCACTCAAAGAAACTAAAATCGACAAATCCTCTTTCCTCAGTAGCTCCAGCTGCGTTTATTAGTTTACATGTGCGTACCAAAGTACATACATTGGAAGAATCGAGAGAAGAGTACATATTCACATTTCTGACACATGTTCCAAAGAAATTGAGGCTTTGTGTTATATTTCACTCCCATTATCGAATTCTTAACCCACCCTTTCACTCATACATTTACACTCACTTGATTCTTTTAAATAATGTGAACTCTTCAAATTCTATTCTATTATTACGTAACCCATCTTACCAGTTCTTAATTCCATGAATCCTTTATTACCTCTAAAATTATCACACAATTTATCTTATCTCTCTCTGAACTCCATCACCTTGATTCTAACACCTAATAACCTCTGACGGGTTCTTGCATATATATATACGAGATAATAAAGGGGGTTTATTTATTTGAAATTCATCACACTACTAAATTACCATTATCCTATTTATTCAATTTCATTATATTGCCATGAACTATTTTTTTTCAAAAAACAAACAAACAATTCAACATTGAATTTCTTCATTTTGTTAGTTAATTTGTTATAATGAAATAAACAACAACAACAACAATAAACATTTCCATCTTCATTTATTTTCTAAGTTTTCACTTGTTTACTGTTTTAGTTTTATGATAAAAAGAAGAAAAGAGTTAAAACAACCATTCTAACATATTTTTGTTTACTGTTGAAAAATTACACTAATCAACACAGAGAGATAAAGAAATTAGTAAACAAATAAAAAAAATTACAAAAAAAAGAGAAGAAAATTAAAGAAGAAGAAAAAAACCACAACTAAGATTGACAGGTTGGTTGACATTGTCCATTCAACCAAGTAAATAAATAAAAATAAAATAAAATAATCTTATCTTTAATTTAATTTGTTAATTAAAACCTTTTTTTACGTATGTACAATATTTTAAATTTAAGTATTATTCATTATATCTATTTAAGTAGTAGTAATGATAATAATAAGTAGTATATAGTTGTAATTATATATGAGTGTTTTTTTAACAACAGTTTACACTGTTATTAGTTTAATGAGTAAGTTTTAAAACGATAGAGTATTATTATTTTGATAAAGATCATTTAGATTGACATGTACTTGACAAAATAGAAAAACCAAATAGTAAATCGTTAATTTGCAAAATATCAATCCATCATATCAAACCGGACTGTTTCTGTTGCAATCATCAATCCATTGTCTCACATTTCATTGTACATGCGTTTTCTTACAAATTGCATTGTGTTCCCGCTCTTCCTTTCTTGATCTTTTCCCATCTTCCGCTGCCAGACATTACGTTATTAACTTGCGTCATATACTACTTATATCAATATAAGTAGCATGCATCACACTAGCATTAACATCAACTTTAAATTTGTATTTATTTTAAGTAGTTTCATTATCATTAGATTATTTCTTCAGCGATTTACTTCATTAATGTATTTTTACATTTTTTTAATGACTAAATAACACGTAAGTATTTAGTAGTTGAATTCATTAGTCGATTTAAGCTAGACTACCATAGAAAACCCGAAAGCACAGTTGTGAGACAGTTACTCACTGAAGACAATGGTCGACAGTCACACAATATCGTGGATTGGTTGAAGTTAGACATTAACACCATTGGATGCCTACTCGTTAGACCAGAGGTTAAGCGTTCATACGCAAGACCGAAGGTCCTGGGTTCTAGTCCTGAATGCCGGATTGTAGATACGCACTTTTAAGAAGTCATATACTGGAACGAAACGACCGTCTAGTGATTCCGGGTTTTCCATGGTGATCTAGCTTTAATTGACTCATGAATTCAATTATTAAAAATTACTATAATCTCCACAAACACGTAAATATATCTTAACACTTGCTATATTATGAATGGACATTTATCGTTAAAGAGGCTATATATAGAATTATTTGAAGAAAGTTTGATGTTATTATAAAATGAATTTTAGAAAGCCGAAAAATACAATGAATCGATTTTGTGATGATTACTAACGAAAATCATAACTTCTTGATATAATTCAAATGAGTTTATAAGAAGATATACAGAATAGTTGATTGACAAAGAAAATATTAAGTAGAACTCGTTTGATATTTGATAACCATCAAGAACCTAACACTTTAGATGTCACTTACATTTATATCTCCTATTGTACAAATGGAGGAAATAAAAGTTGTATTATTATACAATGATGTCAATTGATACTTCTTTAACAGTGTATATTTCCTTCACATAATTATTTGAAGTTGACATGTAGTTTAATAAGTCGCCTAAACCATACAATATACTGTAGAATTATCCGTGATCTCGTACATACTTCTAAAAGATGCCTTGTGATCCCACCTCACTCGAATGAACAGCTGGAGGCACTATCTACACTAAAATAATTACCATGTTTGTAAAACTCAGTGGTCGAGCTTTACCCTACTTTGACGATATATGCTTTTGTCAGGGTCACAGTTTGTCCAATACACTCTGTTCTAGGTATTTTATAATAACTAAGATCTGTTGTACAGTTCTATCACACAAAGTGATTCAATACATAATTAACATATCTCCATTCTTGTCCTGTTGTACGGTTTCACCATTGTAATCTTTCTAATCATAATGGATTAGTATTTCTGTTGAACACTAATGTTATAAAAAAGTTATTCATGCTAATAAAAATGATGTGAATCTGCTTTTTCATTAATAAAGTATTATTGGGATTCATAATAGTACCCATAATTGTCTCGAATGACTATTAACAAATGAGTAAAATATATTTTCAAAAATTAATTCAAACTATACCTAAACCTTCCCAAGCATAGGTTAGGACTTAAACTTTTAAAGCATTTATGACAATGATAAATAGCGTTAGCACGCGAAACCAATGGTCTTGAGTTTGATTTCTGCATGTAGAGTCTTGGATACTCGCTGCTGAGCATTTAATACTAAAACGAAACGGTCACCTGGTGCTTCCAAGTTTTCACTGACGTTCTATGTAAGATTAGTTCGTGGTTTAAACCATGAAAATAATGTACAATGTCTAAAATTAAGAGGATTTTCAGATTTGCAGTTATATTTATTGACTGATGTATTCTTTGATTATCAACATTTATAGAATACTATGAAGAATGACGTAATTGTTCTAAGTCAAAACATGTTGATTCTTGTTGAATAATCTTTTAAATCATAAAAATATTTTATTTTACTCATGAGGTTAAATACAATAAATTTTAGTATCAGAAGGGGTTTTGTGGAGATTGTAGTAATTTCAACAGTTGAGACCATAAGTCAACTGGAGCTAGACCACTATGAAAAACCTAGAAGCACTGGACGGCCGTTTCGTCCTATTGTGGGACCCCTCAGCAGTGCGCATCCACGACCCCACCTCGCACGATTCAAACCAAGGACCTATCAGCTTCGCACCAGGCGCTTAACCAACTAGACCACTGGGCCGGCATCCACCGGTGTTAATGTTTAACTTCAATTAATCCACGAAGTTGAGCGACACATCCAGCATTGTCATCAGTGAGTTACTATCTTACAACAGACCCGGTTGAACTCCATTGGTCATGGCTTCTCACCAGAACTCCAGGAAATACCTCTTGAAGCCAGTCACTAGTGAGCATATGTTACTTAGTATCAGAAATGGTTTTGTGGAGAGAGAGATTATCTCTCATAATTAACGCTCCAATTTTCAGAACATTAACAGTTTTATCGGTGTAACTTATACTTAAAATTCCATTAGAAACAAAATGTATATATGTCCATATTCAATAAACAATGATAAAATTTGTTCTGGTTATCAAACAATAGGTGTTAAGCGGTCATTGTAAACTTTATGAAGTTACAATGGAATTAAAAGTTACATATATATATATATATATATATATATATATATATAATGAATGAACTAAGGGTAAATTTGACAAGGTTGACAAAGCTTACATTTATTTAGAATCAATGAAAAATATTATGTTATCAACCATTTGGAAATTTTTATCAATACTACTAGTAAACAAATTATTCTCTAGTTTATTATACTTTTGAAATATACGCGCAAGACTGGAAGTCTTCCGTGTAGGGTCGTAGATGTGTACTGCCGAAGAATTTTATACTAGGACGAAACGGCCATTCAGCGCTTCCAGGCTTTTATTGTTGTTTGGACCTAGATCGGTTCATGATCTCAATGGCACACATGATGATAACGTGATAACGTGGAGTATGTTTGCAGTTGCTATTATGTCTGAGTTTTGTACTTTAGCTGGAATATTTTCAGGTCCTGTTGCTTTCCCAATCTTTATTTATCTGAAGATCATCCCGATTTCTTCAATCAACAATGGAGTGATATCTATGGGAATGTCTGTGTGTGATGCTTCGATATCCAGTGGATTCAATGTAGCCGGTCTACTCAAGAGTTCCTCAAATTGTTCTCCCCACCTGTTCCTCTGTTTTCGAATCTCAGTGATTTTCTTACCCTCTTTGTCCTTGACTGGCCTGTCTGGTTTACCATATTTGCATGCTAGTTTCTTCGTTATGTCATATAAATGTTTTATATTTCTTTCTGTCGCAGTATTTTCAGCCGTCATTGCTAGGTCTTCCACGTAGTTCTGCTTCTCAGTTCTTATGCTCTTCTTCACCTACGTGATTGTTTCTGTGCATTCAGCCTGTGCCTTGACTTTCTCTGTTCTTGTTCGACTGTTATTAATTACCGTCCTCTTCTTCTTTCTTTCGTAAATCTTGACGAAGTTTTCGGTAGAGATCCATTCCTTATGATGACTAAAACTGAAAGCATTTGGTGTATATGCCTTACCTGATTTTTTTTTAACTTATCATATACTTGATGTATATGCATATACCACAATATTCTGAAAATAATTTAAGCATTTTATAACTAACTCCATTAAATTTTATTCACGTTATTTTTCAGATTATACCGAACATATAAAGATCAACGTTATTTATACATTTTATTAGAAGTTTGTCTAGGTGGTGAACTGTGGACATTGTTACGCAATTCTGCAGCTTTTGATGATTCAACAGCAAGATTTTATTCAGCATGTGTAGTTGAAGCATTAAATTATTTACATAGAAGAGGAATTGTTTATCGTGATTTAAAACCGGAAAATTTACTGTTAGACAGTCAAGGTTTCTGCAAAATGGTAAATTTGTATATTCAGTAATCTTTTTGAAAACATTTTCTTTAGTAAGTGTTCCATATAACTGAAATGACTATTGTAAGTATCCTTATCAAGGTTTGACTTGATAATTTCGAATAAATTGAGCACATGAGCATATTTGAGTAGAACTGGCTTACACTGAGTCATGAAACGTCAGAAAATTTAATTTTTCTACTCATTGGGATATTCAGTCAGTCAGTCAGTATCAACGTAGAACTTCGTACGTACGTACATCAGTTCGAGTTGCCACACCACATTAGCACAGAGATGCAGTGGTCAATTCAAATCCCGTAAAGGTAGAGGTAATAAGAGTATAAGCAGTAATCGGGAAGATTAGTGTTTGGAGATGTTATTTAAAGAGTATAATACAGTGAAATAAATTTGGGAAGAGAAAAAAAGAGACAAAGAGGAATAAGGAGATCAAAATTTGGGAGAACACAAAGAGTGTATGCACCTGCACCATTGCAAATGATTTCAAGCCATGTCATTCAGGGTCTCTAACCATAGGTTGCTATCATCTCGCGGTTCCCAACCAGGTAGTCTACACCTACCGACATGACTCAGACCATTTGTCAGTGACTTCATGGACTTGTGCCATTGGGATATTACAAATATATTAATTAATATTTATGAAATGAATAATATAAGCATAATTAATAACATCAAAACAATGTAACTAAGGTGCTTATACTTTTAAATAATAATTACTTAGACAGGTATTTTAAATATGTCAGAAACTAGTTTGCTTGACCTGACCTGATTCAATTTTTCTTTATGACAAATAAATCTAAATAATGAATGAAATATAGAATTACAAAAGAAAACAAAATTGTTACCCAATGAACAATGTAAAATCAAATAATTTTTTATTCACATCAAATAAATACATCACATTGAATTCAAAACAAACAAACAAACGGACCCCCCCTTCACTTCATCTCAATATTCACTATGGAAATAAAATCAATTTCAGTTGTTTACTTAATTGTTTGTCTTTAATTATATCATAAGAAATTCCTATGAATGGGTTTTCTTTTTCGTTTCTATAAATTAATTCTAACTATCATATCGTTTGTATGATTAGCTTCATTGGATACGCCAACTTTTATTTTTGTTACTTTAAATCAGAATCAACATTAGAAAATTTCTATAATAAACTGAGTAACAAACTATTTGTTTGATTTATTATTCACTAGAGAATTGACAAAAGAATATTGATAATAAAGGTTAACAATTTGTTTATCATGGTAAAGTTTTTAAAAATCTATCTTTAAGAAATAATAATAAAGATGAATATATATTTAGATAAGTGAACATTGGTCAGTTATTCTTGTTTCTAACATTAAAACCATTGGTTTTTTGAGGCAAAAGTATGTGTGTGTGTGAGCGATAGAGAGAGAGAGAGAGAAAGAGTTAATTTTCAGACGGCTTGTTGCTTTATTAACCAATATATTGAGATTGTGACTTTCATGCATATCATTTTCCACTTATATTTTATTTATTTATTTATTTAAACATATAAACATCGGTACAAAGAGACATCAAATAGATATACGCCACATAAATCATTCGATTTGTGTAAGGGATGGGATACTGTCCGGGTGCCCAAACCAAAGCAGGTGGTTTTCTTATGGGGCCACACCCGAAGTCTTCGACTTAAAGGTCTAATCCACAGGTCAGTGGAGCAATGTCGGGAGATGCAGTCTCTTGGTAGCTAGTGACCAGTGATTGATTCATACCCCATTTGATCCTTCAGGATTCTGGAGTCCACATTCACCATTGGTTTGGAATGAGGGTTTTTCAACTCCCCTAGATGGATCCTCCATATCCACCAACCCATCGGACATTCGCTTTTTGTCTTCTCAATTTCATAAACGACAGTAATGCCACGAGAAGGCAGTGAGTAGGACTTATGTGACAGTGATTGTATGCACATGGCCATGTGAGAGCATTTGAAGAGAGAGAGAGAGAGAGAGCTGACTCTCCCTAATCTCGGCCGTACCAGGGCATTTGGAGGTTATGAATTATTAACTATAATTAAACAATATAATAATAAATACCAAACGATATTCCATCCTCTACGTTTATCTATACAAACAATTAATTTTAAGAAAATGTTAACATAATTCTTTATTATATATTCATCAGGAAAAGTTCCACTTTCCTTCGATAATAATTATTTAGAATAGTGAATCATATATTTAAAAAAGGAGTAGTATAGTTTTTGTAAACTCAGGAGTTGTACAAGTATTCGCTTTATTAATAATAATAATATACATTCAAAAATTAGGACCCTACAAAGTTAACTAGTTTGTATTATTCCAAGTTCACAGTGTTTCATGTATAAATGGTATGTTAGCAACATGTCTCTTTTAACATTTTGTATGATATGAGTGTAATCTTGGATAATATATATATATAGAACTATGTAAACATACATGATGAATATACTACCGGTGAACTGAATGTTCTGTACACGATTAAGCCTAGTATAGATTGAATGTGATCTATCCTTATAGTCAATGAATTAAAGTTCGAAAACAGTGTATAATAGTGTTATTTTTAGCAGAATAAAATGAGTTGTATATTAGTATTCATATAATATTCTACATTTAATAATTGTTCAGTCATAACAACATTTTGAAAAGAGCAAGAACAAAGATTCTAGTAGAATAGCATGAATTCATTTTATTTGGTTGGTTCTCGTCAGTTGCTTACAGCATACGATATTAAAAACATAATTACGAAATAGGTTTTAATTACTATCATGAACGAGTTTAGTTGAATGAAAACTTCAAGTGTTTAATAAAGGTAAAGAGGTAAAAAAACACTAAGGTGATTATCTCAAGTATACAATAAGTGGGAGATTTAATTGTCCACTTAGAGAAAATTAAAGGAATGAACAGGTGGTAATGACAACCTAGTTAGAGGGATAAAGGTATGATAATATGAAAATATGGATATTTCTTTACTGAAACACAGAATTCAGGCCATCCATATTACCATCAACCTGTTCTTCGCTAACTTCATTGGTAATTTTTAATGATGCCAGAGTTGATAATGTATATTTAAAAGTCAAGACGTTAATTAGTTTCCATTTATCTTTAGTTTGTAAAACAAGATACTGTTCCAATAGTTGAATCATGAGTCGTTTGACGTTAAACACCATGTAAATCCTGGAATCAATGAACGGCCGTTTTGTCCAATGGAGTTCAACCGGGTCTGTTGTAAAGTGATAACTCACTGAAGACAATGGTGGATGTGTCGCTCGATTTCGTGGATTAGTTGAAGTTAGACATTAACACTGTTGGATGCCGTCTCAGTGGTTTAGTGATTAGGTGCTCACGCGGGAGGCCGATAGGACTTGGAATCGGATCTCGTTAGGCAGGATCGTGGATGCGCACTGCTGAGGAGACCCACGGTAGGACGAAACAGCCATCCGGTGCTTCCAGGACTTTCATGGTGGTCTAGCTTCAGTTGACTCATGATCTCAACTATTAAGATAATATTCAGCGATTTTCTTGAAGAAAGACTTATTCTTGAGGCTGATAAGACATCTATTATTTCGCCACTGATAAACATACACTCAGTTTTGATGGAGTTTCGTCTTCTGTGCTCAGAGAATGTAACTTCACCCAAAATCATCTATCTGAGCTACAAATCTTCACCTCCATTTCAAAATATGTACTATGGAGTACAAAACTACGATGTTCGAAGTAATCTAATGTACCGTTCACTACTAATGTCTTAGACGGTGGTTTCATACATTTATTCATTACATAAATCAAAATTATTAATTATTGATATGAAGATAGTGCTTTTTAGAATGATCATTAGTTAATTTGTTAAATCAAGTGACAATCCCATAGCAATGTCACTGATTCACTTAGAATACTTCATCATTAAATGAAATATAATTATGATTTCTTTACATTAGGAATTTTCTTCTCAAGAATTAATTACACTTAAAAACTAAAAAAACACTAACTATTCATTCTTATTCCGCATTTACGTAGTCAAGATTACAAGATGAATATTATAAACATTTCTTATTCGACGCCAGCGTGATTAGCATTATGTATTTACTTCTAATCATAATTATTTAATTATCTTATGCTGTCTGTTATGAATCTGACATAATCATAGGATTCAACGTATGCTTTTTGATCATAAACTGGATACTAATCAATTAAATTTTTACCATGTCTTAAACTTATTACCAATGGTTTTGTATTGGTATCAATTATATGAATGATAAATTTATTCTTATAAACGACAAATCATTTTTAAAATCTGATTCATCTAAGTGGATTGTGAAGTTTGTTGAGTTTTATAATTTGCATCATGGATTAACCTGTTTCATTCCAAAATACGACTCTTCAGTAATGAGCGTTTATTACCCTACCAATGATGTGACGTAACATATTCAGACCTCAAGCAAAGTGCTTAACTTAAAGACCACATAGACTGCTGCTGATGGTTTGTATATTGGATATAAATGTTGTTTAGTGTTTCCTGATTTTCAGTAGTTGTCTAAGCAAGGTCAATTCACTATGTAAACTATGATTTTAAATTTCCTTTATTTGGGACTCGTCAGATGGATGTACCTGTATCTTGGAGCCGATGTTCACTCTATGACTCAAACACAGTAGCGTTCGCTTCAAACGCTGTTCAAACGAGTCCCAAATAGGACGAAACGCGCATCCTGGATTCCGCTACTAGCCATTGTCCATCTTTGCTTATAATGTGAATGACAATTTATCATATACACATGGTTTAACTCTGAATGTTAACAGATTACATAGGAAACACTTTGAAGGAGTTTTTTTTCTGTAGGCAGATAGAAATATGTGTTCTGATCGAAAAAGTGTTCTTCCACCAAGTAATGCTATTTAATTTATTATAACAAAGGTTCATAATTTCTGTAGTAAATCTTCTCAGACTATTTTATCTTAATTGATATCAGTAATATGAATGAATAAAATATTTTAAACATCCTACTGTCAGTAAAAGAATCTGTCCGGTGTATGATTATTATTTTATTTAGTTTCATAAACAGTATTAATTATTCACAGGATATACATTCATACATACGTTTTGGATATCGAAAGTTATAAATAATGTATATATATTTGATTGATTCTGGTAATGTAGCTTTTTCTTAGTTGATTGATTAGTTGAATGGTTACTAAGCAATTCTTTTTGGTTGGAAATAACTTCATCAAGTTGATCTACAGTGTATTGTATTGGATATATAATGTATAAAATCGAAAATATTTGATAAGTAGTTCATTTCGCTTATTGATTTATTACCATGTAAGAAACAAATAGTTGAGTATAAACTTTAACATCATAATCAATGGGATTTATTTAAATCAATCAAATTTACTGAGTAACATTTTTTTTATATCCCGTTGCCAACTGTATGATAAATCTTTTGTTCTATCTTATATCTTTTAAATCGTTCAACTTTTGTCTATATTTAATCTATCATAATTAATGAAAAAGAAAATGGACTCTCCATTTTAAAATCATTATTATGCAAAATGTACTTGTTGTTTAATTTTAGCATTTTTTTTTAACTATTTTAAATAATAGAATAATTATTATTCCAATTGAATATTGTATAACTTATTGTAGTTGCTAATCCATTTACAATCATTAATCCAGTATGTTGATAATAATTATAAGCCTATTTAGCATTTTAAAGCAATTAAATGAAAAGTTATTAGAAGTATGTAGCTTGTTGATTATCCTTGATTACTTTTAATTGTTTTTTACTAGTTTGATCAGGAAGTATTGTTGTGACCAGTTGGTCAATTAAGCTAACTTTTAAGTGTTTATCGTTAAATTAACTTAATACTACCAGGGCTGGCAGTCTGTGGATCATGTGAACTTCTTATTCATTTCGGGATCTACTAATACTGATTTTTGGTTGGAAACAGCTTACTTGGGTCGGTAGTACGATTTCTGAAAATTTGCTTTTTGGTTAAAGTGTTCAAACGACCTATTTAATATGAACGAACACTATAGTATGATTTATTCGTCTGTTTAGATTGATTAAATCTGGATTATGATCAAGTCTTGATGAAAAATGTATCAATAGCTAACTATTTATTTGTCTATGTGAAAATGTAGAATTAGATGATTGTTTGAATATTGGATTTGACATGCAAGCACACAAGCTAGTGATCGTTTACTAAAGGACAGTTATCTGACAAAAGTTTAAATTTACTTTTAGCTTGAGTTATTAGCATTTAATTATGCATTTTAGACGTTAAATGTATTTAAATGAAAGAAATCGAGTTCGGAATAACTAAGTTTTTGCTGTACAAGAACATATATAAGCATGGATATTAATATCAAATGTACAGATATTTTCAGAATTATGTAATTTAAGTTATTGATTTTTTTAAAATTCAGACGGATTTCGGTTTTGCAAAACGAATCGGATACGGTAATAAAACATGGACATTTTGTGGAACTCCAGAATATGTAGCACCTGAAGTGATTTTGAATAAAGGGCATGATTTCACCGTTGATTTTTGGGCACTTGGTATTTTAATGTTTGAATTACTAACTGGAACGTAAGTCAAAGAAGAGATTTGTTATTTTAATTCTATGAAGTTGAATTCACAATTTTATTGGTTAATACAAGTTTATTGTCTCATTTTAAAGACAGTTTAAATTCTAATTGTTGGCATTAAACTAATACACAATTCATCATAAAAAGATAAATTTGATTTCAGTCAACATTATTAAGTTTTAATGAAAACCAGAATTGAATATTATCTATAGTATATATTCTTTGAAGTAAGAATATTTGATATTTATTGTAATAAATAATAAATAAATAAACAAAGATCAGAAAAGTTGAAATACATTTTATGTCTCCAAGTGGGAATTTAATGAAAAAAATAGTCCCAAAATCTTTATACAAACAACTTGTAGTATCAAGAATTTAAATAGTTGAGATCATGAGTCAATTGAGGCTAGACCACTATAGAAAAGCTGAAAGCACTGGACGGCCGTTTCGTCCTATTGTGGGACTCCTCAACAGTGCGCATCCATGACCCCACCTCGTGGGATTCGAACACAGGACCTACAGGTCTCCCGCGCAAGCACTTAACCATTAGACCACTGAGCCGGCATTCAATAGTGCAAATATATGTTAATTATATGTTTTTCACATAGAAATGCAACAATAACCATTTTGTTTACTCTTGGTATAATAGATATATTCGAAGTTCACTACTTATATTACATTACATCATAATAAAATTTCTAGCAAATTAATAAATATATATTAGAGAGGAAATTGAATTTGTAAAAAATTAAACATCCATTACACTGTACTACAAACTATTTCAAAGTTTCTACAATGAAAGACCGCATCAATAATTAACAAATTTACATAAGTTAAATAGTTCAGATCATGAGTCAAATGAAGATAGACCACCATGGACAACCTAGAATCAATGAGTGGTCGTTTTTTCCTATTATGGGACTCCTCAACAATGCGCATCCATGATTTCGCCCAGCCAGATTCGAACCTACGATCTATCGGTTTTCGCACGCAAACGCTTAATCTCTAGACCACTAAGCCGGCAATTTACATGAAACAAGCATAATGATTTACTAAATAAACAATATAACTACGTTAAAAATAAACTTTGAATTAAAAATTTATCATATTTTATAATTAATCAGTCAGTCAGTAACAACGTAGAACTTCGTACGTACGTACATCACTTCGAGTTACCATATCACATTAGCACAGAGATCAAGTTGCCGATTCAAATCCTGAAGTGATAGAGGTAGTAAGAGTATAAGCAGTAATCGGAAAGATTAGGGTTTGATGATATTATTCATAAATAAGTAACAGATGATTCCAAGACATTTAATCAAAATACTTTTCTAATAAATCAATAACTCTAAGAGTTCCATTCATAAAATGTATGTTGAATAAACTAAACTATCAATAATTAACATTATGGTAATTATTACTTTATGTTAATTCTTATATTTTAGACCTCCATTCACTTCATCTGATCCAATGAAAATATACAATATTATACTGAAAGGAATTAATACAATTGAATTTCCAAAATCTATTACAAGAAATGCGCAGTGCCTTATTAAAAAGTTATGCAGGTAAAACGTTCATTTAATTCTACTGTAGTTAATGTCTGTCATTATATGTAATAATTATTTATAACAAACAGTAGAAGTAAATGTCTATTAGTTATTATCAAACGTTAATTGTATACATGATTAATTTTTTTTCACTGATTGAAATCATGAGTCAATTGAAATTAGACGACCATGGATAACCTGGAAGCACTAGACGGTGTTAAAATCTTCACAAAACCACTTCTGATAATAATCATCTACTCACTAGTGACTGACTTCAAGAGATACTCCTGGAGTTCTAGTGAAAAGCTGTTACCAGTGGAGTTCAACTAGGTCTGTTGTGACATATCAACTCACTGAAGACAATGGTGTACGGTGGCGCAACTTCGTGGATTGGTTGAAGTCAGACATTAACACCGTTGGATGCCGGCTTAGTGGTCTAGTTGGTTAAGCGCTTGGCGCGAGACTGATTGGTCCCGGATTCGAACTCGCAGGGTGCGGATCGTGGTTGCACACTGCTGAGGAGTCCCATACTAGGACGAAACGGCCGTCCAGTGCTTCCAGGTTTCCCATTTTGGTCTTGCTTCAGTTGACTCATGATTATAATCAGTGAAATTTCTAGTCTCCACAAAATCCCTTCTGATATTTTTTTTATTAATTGACAAATAATTCACAATTAGATGAATATATATTTTGTCAGATATTCAGTCAGTTAGCTTGTAATTCTATACGATTAAGATTTCAGGATTTATCTCATGGGGGGATTATTGAATAGGCCACTTTAGTCGTTCAAGAAATTTAGAAGACTAATTGAACTGTTAAACTATTTGTGAAGAACTAGGCTGTTTTGAAATATATCTTAGAAATATCGGTAAGTTTAAATGAATAGAAGGAAGGTGGAATACAATAGTGTAGTAATTTCATATGTATATATATTCGTATTTCTTACATTTGACTTAATGTCTATTGCAATACTACTTACAATTCTTAAGTTATTTTCTATGTATTAGTTACAGTCCCTCACAATCACATCCACTTTTGGCTTGATCGTGTGATGAGGTTTGATTTGCTTGTATATTTCTGAAATACATGATTCACATAGTGAAGGCTGAAATTGTATCTTGAACTAAACGGGCAGTGGTAGGCGAGAAAGATTAATACGGATTCAGAGTAGATGCAAGGCTGTTAGTGCTAGTTGACGTGTCATTGGTTTAGCACAAGAATAAGGTCATATAAGTCGGTATTGTGATTGAAGGTTTTGTCAAATGATAATTGACAGAGCCATTAGAACATAACTATATATATATATATATATATATATATATATATATATATATATATATATATATATATATATATATATATATATTAGAAAACTAATTATTCAACTGTAAAAGATATCGGTTCACTTGTTTTTGTAGAGATGCTCCAGCCCAACGACTCGGTGCTCGAAAATCAGGAATAATAGAAGTGAAAAATCATGCATGGTTTGAAGGATTCGACTGGAATGGGCTTATAGCTAGAACTATTCAGGTTCCTATTACACCAAAAGTAAGTTCATTTTCATATGACAGATTTTGTTACATTTTATAAGTATCCACTCAGGAAAAATGCTTTATATGACACTTTAAATAAGAAAGATGTCAATTCAGGATATCTTTTTCTTGAGATCGAAGAGTATCCGTAGATCTAGGTAAGGAAAATTCTGCTGAAGCATTTCGAAATATTTTTTCTTGAAAACAATCATAGATATGTCTTTGTTCAGATTTGAAATGACTTTATTATCATTGAGAAAGGACTTGCCTTGTGAGCTTTACATTATCAGTTGATGTACTTGGCCTATAAATGATCAAGATATATAATTATAATCCGTTATATTTATGTCTTTAAAATTGTCAGTCCTTCTACAATTCAAAATCATAAATTTCAAATTATGAGCAAACAATATAAACCGAAACTTTCACAGCATCTAAGGATTAGATAGTACTTAACAACTGTAATAATTCAAAATTGTTTTCTTTAAGTATAACAATAATTTGTTTATTATTAAGTTTGTTGGGGACGATAGATGCCCAAACTCATATTTTAAATTTTATCGCATCGATTAACTTATTGATTAAATGGTTAAATATCTGTATTGGAGTCAATTGATGAACTGATCGATTAAATATTTGAATAACAGTCAATAGATGAACTATCGATTCTATGGGCAAATAGGTCAATTTACGAACTCATTGTTTAGTGTTTAAAATTTTTCTATGACAATATCGATTATATATATATATATATATATATATATATATATATATATATATTTAAAATTGTTTTTTGGCTGCTGCTGCTTGCTCGCTCGTTTTCTGGCTGTTTGCAGAATATACTTTCCATACCAAGCCTGGACTTCTCCTTCTAGATAGCGGGGCTGGGACGCGTCAATAGTTAGATCACTGGTCTTTGGTCACTGAGTATTGTTCTCGTTCGCAGTTTAAGTGAACCCGTGAAGCTTCAGACCTAACACTAATACAAACCGATCGAGTTTTCTATCAATATAAATACATTATCAATATCAAAATGTTAACAGAAATGTCTCACAGCTATAGTTGTTAGAATGAATGTTTCCCATTATATTTTCAATCATATTGTGTTTAAATATGAGTTTGCATTATCACAAACTGTATTTCGATTGTTTTTTTGGTCATTTGTTATCTTTTTGCAAAAATTTACATGTGTACAGTACTTTTCAGCAAGTACTTGTAGTGTCGGTTATTATTTTAAGCCCATATACCTTATTCTAGCTTTCAGACATTCCATTCTATTCATTCTACTTGAGTCACATTCTCACCTTGTTATTTATTCGCTTATCCTATTTCGACTTTTTATATGAGCGCGTAGGTGTGTGTACATTTCTTATCCCATTACTCATCACATGTCTGTAACTTACTTTTGTGTAACTATAAATATTGGTTAACGCTTGGTTAAGTGAGAGTTGGCTTACCAGCCATCTCCACTCTGCGTCGTTCCTCTTCTTTCTATCCCACTCGCTTTATATACAAAATGTATGTGTTCAAAAGTGCATTCTCGTTATTTGACTTATTTAATTCCGTTATTGACTAACGGATTTAAATATATATGAGAATAGGCTATATATATATTTCAATAACAATCAATCATACGATCAAATTGAAATCAGATCCCGGGCCACTAAGGTGAAGAGTCCGTCAACAAATATCGTTCGATCTAAATGACGACAAAATGATGGGCCCCACAAAATACTTCTCATAATTGACTATACTTATAGAAAACAGTGAAGTGAAACAAATCACTAAATTATTTATTCCAGAAATAATTTTGTGAATAAACAATGCTAATCTGATGAATCATGAAAGTCATTAAAAGTTATCTTAGTAAAATGAACCATTAAATGTTGATTTGCGACCTTCTATTGAATCATTTTAAAACCCAAGAACAAAATTTAATCTTAAAGCATGGCTTTTTATAAATAAATTTCACTGGGAGGTCATCTTCCACATAGTTGATCAAAATGACTGACAGTTTCTACATTTAATAATAACCATTTATACTACTAAGCTACATACTGTACTATTTGAATGTTAGTTGTCTTATAAGTGGTACATTAATCGTAAAGCAGATTATACAATTCAGTTAGTTCGAAGACTATTTGAGTTTCCTTTTAACTGCCTAAAACCTTGACATATCACTAAATCAACTAATTAATTTAACAAGAGAAGCCGAAGAACAATCGGAAATTACAAAGCATTGGAAAGTTGTTTAATCTGTATATTGAAATTATTTGGCAGCAAAGGATCTACAAATACATCAATGATATAATGAATGCGTCAGGTTTAGACCAATGGATTAGAATTCCGCATTGCACAGCTTTAACTTCAGTTAACTGAATATGCATCATCAATACCAAACAAATGTCCACAGTGATGACTGTCACATTTACTGTGAGGTTTTTAATGGTTCTGTGAATGGTGTTACCCTCACAATGAATTATTCCTTACGGTTTATACAACTTATTTGCTAGTTTAGCATTAAAGATGGTTTATTCATATACTTTTATGATAAATAATGTTTTTTTATATAGCAGTATAATCATTATTTCGTTTTTTTTGTACACCTACAGATTTCCTCACCGACAGATTTATCAAACTTTGACAGTTATTCAGAAGAAGAAGAATTGCCTCCAGAAGATACAACCGGTTGGGATAAAGATTTTTAAAAGGCATAATAATAATAATAATAATTTTATATTAAACCCAAATTTTCCGCAACGACTGAACAACATGACCCAAAAAATATTCTGTATAATAAACAATGACGTTATTTTCTCAATCTTTTCACTCAGTCACTTTTCAGCTTTATTGTTTCTGTTAAACTAGTATTGTAATAACTTCTCTGATGGAAATTCTTTCTTATTGTTTTTGCTTTTATTACCACAATACTATTTTTAGAGAAAAAAAAGAAGAAAAATCATCCATTTCCCTTATTTTTGACTTTTATTTCATATCTAGTCAGTGACAGAGAAGAATTAAACTACATATATTAATATTAATAAATGCATGAGCCTTTTCGTCTATATTGTTATACATATATATGGTTAGATCACTGTTGAATACAACGGCAGTCGTATTACTATTATCATGATTATTATCATTATTAAAATTGTCAACAATTGACAGGAGGAAATTATAGATGCGCCATGATAAAATGGAAGTTATTCATAATAGCAAACATTGATAATGAGAATAATAACTAAGGTTAGGAAGTTAGACCATTGGATTCCAACTTAGTGGTCTAAACATATTGTGACGTAAATTAACCATAAAGTTAAAAAGCCTTTGTTAACCAAATATTCATAAATTAAAAAAATATCCAAATTATATAACATTGATGATGATATACAATGATGACAAGACTGATGTGTAATCAAATGACTTAATCATGGTACTTGACCAGAACAAGACAATAACTCCATTTCTTTAAGTGTTAACTAGAATTAGAAATTAAATTATGAACATAGAATTAATGATAGATAATATCTACAAACATAGTACAATGTACATTACATATGACTTGACCATAAAAAATAAAATTCTTCTTCAGCTTATACTAATGAAAAAAAACAGATCTCTCAATTGCAATATTATCACAGAGGTTTACTCAATCAATAGGAAGAATCACACTTGATTCAGCTAATATATCTAAGGACTGATTTTCAACGGTATTTTATACTTCAAAAATTTGTCAGGCAGAAATAATCTTTAAATGTTTCTGCTTCGGAAAGTTATAATCGGTTTGTTTTCAATAAACCTGCAGCTCTGAATGAGTTTAACTGAAAAAAAAACATGATTTGACGAAGAGGTCGCCACTGGACTATTGAAAGATCGTCGCATGAATAACCTCCATAATACCACATTGTTGGGATAGATACTTATAATGGTAGTGATACACTTACAATCTTACATGTTAATAGCAAAGCTGACGGATCAATGATTATCAGTTAGCAAAGTATATTTTGCGACTAAAGTGTAGAACGTGCAATTTTTGAATGTTCTGATCAGTAGATCAGATAGTGATCTGCCAAGACAAAATACGAATTTCAGGAATCATTGTGACTTAAGATAATCAGAGGATGACAGGTACATGAATAGGTTTGACAACAAACTGTAGACGATTATTTTCATTGTAGTTTTATAGGAAAATTCTCGAAAGAACTGAACAACCTCAGTCGCTAAAGACTATATTTGTGTGTCGGATTTAGGGACGATGTTTTAAAAGAGGTTATGAAAGCCCTACTTACTAGGATTTTGAGGAAAAAACTGAATTTCGATAACTGACCGGTTGGGCTTTATCAGTATTATTTGACTGGCGCGAATTAAGGGATAGACTGCCAGTCTGCATTCTGAAGTAATACCAGTCTTGATAGTTGAATGAATAGTGCCTATTCTAAGAGCGGATTTGACTATCACGACGGAAGTTTAAACCGGTCATAAAGTCCAACCAGCCGCTTTTCCAAAACTATTCCGAAGTTAAATAACACTGCTAAATTGTAATGTTGAAATTTGTGCGAAACAAGGACTTCGAAAATCTCCAGTTCGAGCTAGAGATTAAATGAAAAAAAGTTAACTGTCCAGTCTCTAAATTTATGTTCCAAGTTCTTTCCTTATGTTCTTTCATTCTCTACATTCATATTTCCCAAATGGCTATTCAACTTCAGTTATTTATAAACAACTTTTGTCGCATTTCATAACCTACTGTTGACGCTTTTATAAATAAATAGTTTACTGGGAAATTTTCTGTGAGCCCCCAAATGCCCTGGTATGGCCAAGAGTGGGGTGGGCCCGCCCTCCATCTCGAAATGCTCTCACACGGCCACGCGTATACAGCCTCTGCCAGGGAAGTCCTACTCACTGCCTTCTCGTGGTGGGGGTATTGTTTACGGAATTGAGGGCGAAAAGCGAGTGTTCGGCGATTTAACCGGATTCCAAACCATTGGTGCACATGGGCTCCAGTATCCTGAAGGAACAAATGGCGTATGAACCAATTTCTTGGTCACCGGATACCATGGGACTGCATCTCCTCACGATGCTCCACTGCTTTGTGGATCAGACCTTTAGTCGAAGGCTCGGGGTGTGACCCCCTGTGAAAACCACCTGCTTCGGTCTGGGCACCCGGGCAGTATCACAGCCCTCACACAAATCGAATGATGTATGTGGCGCATATCTATTTGGTGCCTCCTTGTGCCAATATCTATGTGTTAAAATAAGTAAATAATTTTCTGTGATCATTGGAAGTTTTACACCTAATTCATGAGCGATTTCCATAATGACGCAAAACTAATTTTTCTCAATGAATATTAATATCTGTCCAATAGTTTTAGGGGATGATGAACGACTATATAGTTAAAATTACTTCGTCATGTTGAAAAACCGGTAATTTCTCTTACAATTTATCTTGCACTGTCGAAAACGTTTTATATCTCGAGTTATGATGCTTGTAATAACATTATACTCACAACTATTTGCAATTAATGTACAACAAATACGGGCTCTGAAAATTAAATGTTCATATGAAGCCAACGCCAATTAATTAATATGGGGATCTTACTATATACGTTTCATGAGAGCTCCTAATTCACTTACTGTTTTAGAGCTAATTGCATAAATGACAGAAAAAAATGGAGACTAGAATCCAAACTTTTTATTCGAAACAAATGAGTTTTAGGAATATTTCACAATACGAGGGAGAATAATGCTGAAAAACTGAGCGATGTGGTCATTTATTTCAGGAGTTAGACAGTGAATTTGCTTACTGTGTATTAGTCACTTTTTGATTTCATAACCATTTTATATTATTATTGGATTTAATTTATTTTTAGCGAATCCAAATTGATGACTAACTATTTATTAAATAATGAGTAAACTTTGATTTGCTTTACTACTGTTAGTGAAATGGTCACATTACCCAATGATTTAGCTGGATTGTCTCAATTTTTCTCAATAATACTCTTAAATTACTGATAATTTGAATAAATTATCCAAGATTTAGATTCATACAATTTTATTCAGAATAAAAAGAAACAGGCATAATAAATCAACCTTAAACAAAGTTTCTTATCGGATAAAATAAAGGACTAAAGTAAAACACAAAGCTCAATGGATTTATGAAAACTATATTTTTTTTTGAAAATAAATGGGAATTAGTAATGAGTTCTAGGACAGAAGATAAACAATATGTTTGATTATTTCATACTGGTGGATCTATAACCATTCTGGAATTCAAATGAGAATGAACCCAATCAGGATGTGCAACTTCAATATCTTCAACTATACGATTAACAGCTGTACATAAACTTTGAATGTGCATACTCCAAGATGAAACACCAGGATCTCTGCCTGAAATATATAAAAGGAATGACAAAATGTACTTATGTCGTAATAAAAACATGAGTCCGACGATTTATAATTAACTTATTTTTAAATTGATAGATGTATATAAATGATAAGTTTAACTAGAAATCACCATTTTAGGCCTTTAGTTAATGAGGTAGAAATGTTTCGACTTCCAATTTTCATTAATGATGTTATATGTCCCGAATAATCTTACTTATTTCGTATATCCCAATGAAGCTTATTTCTTGAAGTTTTGTCATCAAAGGTCATTAGAGGATAATGAAACTGCAATGGACGAGAACAGAGGCTGGGACAACCAAATGTATTTGAATACCAAATTACAGAATCTCTTAGCAAAATTTGAGAACCATACAGTAAATACTTCATTTGCAAAATGTCCATCAATTGTCTCACACTTTATCGTTCCTTCATTTCCATACTAATTACCCTCTGTTCTCGTTCTCTTTACTTCGATCCTCCCAACCTTCTGCTGCCATGCATTCCACCTTTGATTGGTGATACATACTACTTATATCTGTCGACATCAGTAGTACACACCACAGTACTATAGTAATTTACAATGTAATAGAAGTTTGGGAGCTAAAATATACAGGTAGTTATGTTGATGGTAGTTATTGTGATGGAACAGTTAACTTTAAACCTTAAAATAGATAATTCCGAGAAAATTTGAACACCCTATCTCTGACTTTTCATTTTCTGTGGTGAATTTTTCTATAAAAAAGGGATGAAGCATGACAACTGAAAAGCCCCACATGAACCGTTTTATATAAGTGGGTGTCCCTCGGTCTTTGGAGTCGGATAACAACGGCAACTTTTATAGCATGATTTAATAAGGGAGCATTATATATACATAGGCATACATGTATGCAAATGTCTCATGATTATTAATAAAGGTTATCGGCGCTATCATATACTACAGCTGATAATCTTAGTAAATATAGACAATTATGAATCCCATTAGCGAATTCAGGAAACCATAAAATATATAGACAAAACAGAAGTTTTAGAAACATGATATAGAAACGAAACATATCATCATACACATAAACAAGGACACCTACTACAAGAGTTACATAGGAGGAGAACAATTATTATACGTCAAATAAAAATGAACTCAACATTTAACAACCGTACACTGGAAATCTCAAGATTTCCCATCATATAACTTTGAAATTTCAAAATTACCACTATAAAGTGCCATAGAAGGTGACACTTGAGCACGTCGACTCCAAAGATCTGCTGAAAGGACATTTCATGCCATCAAGTTACATGTAATCTCAGCCAAACCAGTACTTACACGACAAATCAAAGATAGGTTACTGATGATGGGTTGAATACAATTAAGTCAATTAAATTTCATTTCAAAAGGATGAAAATAAAACAGCCTACGAAAATTTGCAATTAAGCATAAAGTAGATATTTATTATAGTCAATTGACCAAATAACTATAAACATACTTTCAAAATGAATAACACCATCAATTTGATCAAGTTTACCAATTAATCTTCCTTCACTAATCATTTGAGAGGCGATAGATTCAGCCTAAAATTCGACAAATACGTGGTTTTTTAATAAAAAAAAATTAGAAACTACTTATTTTGTTTACATTACAACACTTTAATCTGTAAAACTAAATTATTAAAATAAGCTCTGTCAAAGAAAAACAACAATCGATTTGAAGAGTTTACTTGAACAAGCTTCGAAAGTGAACAGTTTATAACGAGTTTGTTTATTATTCTACTGAACTACATCTGATTCAACTCAGTTTCGCTTATGGATCAATTTCTTTATAAACATGATATGCTACATAATCATCGATGAGACAAATTTTCAATTTCCTGGAATATAATAGAATTTAGGTCACTTAGATCATTCTATTTAAACTGTCAGAAAAGGAATGCATAAATTTCATGAACTACAACAAGAGATAACCGCAAAAATACATTTAAAAAGAAAATAATCTCATGTTTCTGTGACAAATATCAAGTTAACAGATATGTTTATCTTTTTTTGCATTATACATAACCATTGATAGGATAATCTGTATTGGATTACCTTAATGCTTTATTGTCTTACATTCAAATACAGGAATTGTCCACAAGATATTTCACCTAACTACCTATTTATATGGAAAACTAATAAATCAAATAAACAATGACAATTCAGTAGATGAAAAATCATGGATATTATTATTGGTTGGATTATTATTATTATGTGGTAGTTTGAGACAAGAATTAATTAGATAAAACTTTAGCCACGAAAATAAATATTTAATACATTCCACAATTTAATCATGAGCCTAGAAATATTTATACTTTATAGATTGAACAAACATTTTAATACATCACACTATGCACAAAATTCAATTACACAACCACTAGTATTTGTCGTTAATTGAACCGTAACCTGTTATATTTATTTTAGAATAATTAATTTGGAAATTATTATAAAGACAATTTTTATCGTAAAATTTACAAGAATACAAATAATGTTGGGGAAAAACTTAATTTGTATTTATTGATTAGTTCTTAGATATCCTTTGAAAAGTCTTTTCCTTGCATTTAAGATTGATTAGATATGTAACAATATACAATACTGCAATTCGATCAACAGTGAGTAAAGTTTTCTCTTTCTTTATGACATACATTATAGACTTTGAAAGAGAAATTTAATTCATTGCACTCACATGGTAATGGTGTTTTACACACGGTAAAGTAAGATGTTATGTATCGAAAGTGTTTTCCTGAATACGAAGAGTACATCTAAGAAGGTTGGGAAACCCCGATTTTATGCCTATCTTAAATATAAGATCTAAGATACCGAATGGTATATGAACCTATTTCAATCAACAGTGACTCATTAGCATGAATCTTTTGATGTAGTACAACTGGGTCATGGATTAGATTTTCAGGTCACACGTGTGAGATTGTATATTGAAAAAAATCAACTACTTCGTTCGAATGAAGAGTAGTACAACTGTCAAACAAATGAAAGACTATCTATACAAAAGATACGAATAATTTGTTCCAAAAATCTAATCATGTAAACACTCCTACATCGCTTTAGACCTTAAAATCTGGAGGAACTATTTTTAAATAACAATAATAATACAGGAAATTATATTAAAAGCAATTTTGAATTACCAACCTCACTTGCAGATATTTCCAAAAGAAGACCTAAATTCTCCAAACTGATATTATTATAGATTAGACTGGCAGCTAACATGTTATGTTCAATTAAAGCTCGTTCAAGCAGTTTTTGTACAGAAGATGAAGTTATGGATGATAATTTCCCCGACTGATCTTGAATACTTGAAGTTATTCCCGAAAAATCTTGTAATGAAGACTGTAATAAATGAGGATAATATTTCTTAAGCAAAGGCTCCAAACTGGAGAGTGATGAACGATTGATTAAACGTCCCATAAACCTAAATATAATCCAATACATGAACGAACAAATTATTTTAACAATGGATATTGTGGAACATTATCAGACAATATAAATTTTACACAAGCATATATAGATTTGAGGTTGCGATTTTAACAAAAGTGAATCAATTTGATTTTGTTGGCATATACACTTCGTGCACATAACAAGTATCCATGAACAAAGTACAAGTATGTATCAACTCAAGTTTCTACACCACATCAAAGTCAGATAGAATTAATAAGATCTATAGAAAAAAAAAAGGAAGTAATGATGTTTATCATGATGAAAATTGCTTAATAAAGAGAATAGGGTTCGAAAAAGAATGAACTGGTGTAATAAAAATTACGAAATAATACTGCAACTTGAGTTAGATCACCAAGTGTCTGAAACCGTAGATCACAACTCCAAAACAGGAAGTCTGAATCACTCCTAACGACCCCGACCCGCAGTTAATGACTTAACGGATCGATGCAATATCTTTTTTGGACACCTCTGGCTTCCTTTCAACCCACTGTTATCCAATCCAGCATCGCACATCAAAGTAGGCAGTGAATAGATGTGTATAATACAAGTCCATCAACTGAATTACCATCTTTATGTAGTATCCTACGCCTAAACTCAGAAGTATTAACTTGGTCGTTTTACAATGAAGATGGGGTACTTTAAAAACATCATATACTAGAAACCAACACATGTTTTACACTCTCAGAGGTGACGTTTCGAAATTATGAAGTAAAACAGCAGACTAGTGTACAACATACTTACCCTTTGATAGACACCCTATCTATTACTTAAGTGAGCAAAAGAAAGGAATAAGCTTTTTGAATACATACCAAAAAAAATTGCATGATACTTAGCAACCACTAGGACATATTTAACCCATTTGGGAACTGGTCGTCTACTGCACTTCAGTGAAGTAGTATTCTTATAAAAAATTGAACCCGAAATATATGTCTTCAAGAATGCATTATTACCAATTACTATTTTTAATCCAAAGAATATCAAACTAATATACTACAGAATGCTAGAAACACGAATCACTAAGAAGTGACTAGTACAACTCGACAACTTAGTTCAAAATATTTCGTAGTATGAACGGATAACTACTAGGTATGCATTTTGCTCTGAACATTAATCCACATTAGGAATAAGATACATATGACTATCGAATTCAAGCATAACGAAATACTGATCACAAATAAATGCAACTGGGAATAGATCAATTGAGAGAGGATAAAAAGTGCATTACACCACCCGTTCATATAAAAGACTATCAGAAATTCACTTAATCATATTATAACAGGAAGTGTCAACACAATATACGGACTCAGTTAATTACAAACTTCCTAATTGTTGTTTGAACTAGTGTATCATTTTGAAACATAAGTGTTCATTACTAAATCTGTAAACAGCTTTTTAAACGATATTATTTCTATAGTCAACATTATTAACTGTTGCATATATTGGACACTTATGCAAACTATTTTAAAATAGGATGATTCTGCAAATAACTAAATATAATAGTGAACGATTTATTGAGTTTCACTTCCGCCTAAGTCAGAACTAAAGACTTTTACAAACAACCTGGTTATAAATCAATTTGGTATTTATGGTAATTTCTTCAAACTGTGGAAAATCTTCAAACTAGAATGAAACGAATATCCCATATCCCTTGCGTTTAAGTGGTTCTGCACTTAATTTTATCCTGTTGTGGAAACTTTCCTTAAAAAAACCTACTAAGTGTTATATTTTGGCAATGACTAGCCTATCACATTTGTCAGTGTTTCAACATCAGCTTTATTCTCTACTGCATCTTACCGGACAAATATTGAACGGCAAATAGACAGATAAAAGGGCAACACCACTAACTGTTTGCTTTCAGATAAAAAGCAATATTACTTCACAAGATGCTCGTATATAATCAATTCCCGAGTGACTTTGAAAGGACAATGTAGCATTAGAATATTAACCATACAATTAAAGAAACTGAAAGATCGATCGGGGGAATACGACCATCAGATACAACAGAAAGACTACTTTCAATTTTAGCCCACTGCTTAGTAAAGTGACAGCTGTTATCTGTATACGTTAGTAAGGACCAAGTCGATTCGTGAATAGTAAAATACAAGATACCTTTTAAAAACGCCTAGTTTTCCAAACAACTAACCAAGATTAGCTAAGAATCAAGACTTTGGACTACTCGTCAAAAAACCAAAATTACCTTTAGGAATTTTTAGTCCTACTGGTTGATCCTTAAACAAACGAATTCTCTAAAAACCGACTGTAACTACTATCGATAGCAGCAGTTAACGAACCTCTTCAGTGTTTAGACGCCTTGGTTCACTTTCCAACTGTTAGTCGGGATAGGAGATAAATCATAGTGAACCTAATATACATTGCCAGTCACTATCAAATATATCATATACTCCAATAGCATTGCTGTTTTTTAGATGCACACAATGCAATGAAGTGGTTCACAAACGGAGCTATAGCAGCTTGTGATAATATGCGAGAATTTTCCAGGCGAAAAATGTTTATATGATCTTAGGAATGTACTTCGACCACAATGCTGTTTGAAGAGATTACGAGATCACTTAATTAGGCGAATAGAATGGAGGATAAGCAACACAACGACGAGACAAACTAAACTATTCTGATGCGTCCCAGTCTTTCTTATTATTTTTATTTGAACACAAAAATATTGGTACAAAGGGGCACCAAATACATATGCGCCACATAATAACAACGAAGCCAGTATCAGTCATCATTGATTTGTGTGACGGCTGGGCTACTACCCGGGTGCCCAAACCAAAGCAGGTAGTTTTCTTATGGGATCACACCCCGAGCCTTCTGCCTAAAGATCTGATCCACAAGTCAATGGAGCATCGTAAGGAGATGCAGTCTCATGGTAGCCGGTGACCGACGATTGATTCATACGTCATTCGCTCCTTCAGTCAGTCAGTCAGTAACAACGTAGAACTTAGTACGTACGCACATCAGTTCAAGTTGCCATACCACATTAGCACAGAGATGCAGTGGTCGATTCAAATCCCGTAGTGGTAGAGGTAGCAAGAGTATAAGCAGTAATCGGGAGGATTAGGGTTTGGAGATGTTATTTAAGGAGTATAATCCAGTGAAATAAATTTGGAAAGAGGAAAAAAAGGGGCATGAAGAATTCAGATAATTAGAATTTGGGAGAACATAGAGAGTGGATGCACCTGCGCCATTGCAATCGATTTTGAGCCATGTCATTCAGGGTCTCCAACCATCGGTTGCTATCATCTCGCGGTCCCCAACCAGGTAGTCTACACCTACCAACATGACTCAGTCCACTTGTCAGTGACTTCATGGATTTGTGCCATGTTTTGGTCTGGCCGCCCCTAGCTTTCTTCCAACCTACTCCTATACCACTGAATATAGCACGTCGCTCCTTCGCTCCTTCAGGATACTGGAAACCATGTGCACCATTGGTTTGGAATCAGGGTTTTCCAACTCACCTAGGTTGACTCTCCGTGTCGACTAACCCGGTTAAATCCCCGGACATTTGCTTTTCGTCCTCCATTCCGTAAACAACACCCCCACCACGAGAAGGTAGCGAGTAGGACTTCCCTGCCAGAGGCTATATACGCGTGGTTATGTGAGAGCATTTCGAGAGGGAGAGCGGACTCTACCCACCCTCGGCTTTACCATAGCATATATGGGCTCCCCAGCCCTGCTAGCCAGAGAGAGAAGACCAGGTTCAGATGAGGGAAAGGTATATTTCACAAGCAGTCAGAAGAACGAACAAACCAAGCACACAACTCAAACGTATATATACAATATAAAAAGGTCCTTGGGAAACATCACAAAATAGCGTAATAAAAGAGGCAACGAACCAATAGCATGTAGCAGTGGGGAATCCAAGCTGAAGGTAAAACTGAACGATTTTGGCGCGAAAATAAAATAAAATTACAAATACAAAACGTTTACCAAGTGATTTCTGGGGATCTAGTATCCCCAGCACACAACAAGCTTGAATTGTGAATAATAAAATAATCATTCTTTAACTAAATAACACATTATCCAAATAACATTCGGTGTTTTTTAGTTTAAAAGTCTTTTAAATCAGCTAAACGAGGTGAAAAACTAATTGACTGTTAGTATGATCGTCCCGTGTAAGTAACAAGGTCTAGTCAGTGTTTGATTATTAAGAAATGTTTATAGACTTCATCAGATAGCGATATAAATTATTCTTTCTTACTTAATAATCGACATAACATTTAATATGAACACTGTAAAGTGAACTTACATATTTTCTAAAATTGGATAGGCATCGAAAGTTTGGCACCGTTCATCTTTATATAAAGTAGCTAATAATCTAGAACGTTGTTGACCAGCACTTGAAAGTAAGGCAGCTGCTAACGCACGTTCTATAAAGGCCAAACGCTCGGAATCATCAAGCCATGGAAATCTTATGGACAATTCAGCATAACGTTGACCAGCTTCGAGGAATTTTTGCTTTAAATCCAATAAATGTGCATAGGCTATCTAAGATATATTTTAAATAACGATAAGGGAAATAAACGATCTAGTGAACAATGAAAAATATATTGAATATATTATAACATATAAACTAATTCTACAATTTTGTATGAATTCTTTAGCTTACTATTACATCTGTTGATTTTCTGTGTATCATATATATTTATAGTAAAAAGTTGAATCAATACATGACTACCAACCAATCAACTCCGCTTGTAGTTCTTATAGAGTTACTGTCGGTCCGAAGCCCACACAGAGGAGGATCGGGAGTGGGGACGGCGACCCCATCTTGGATAAAAAAAAACCTTGCTAAAAAAACGCTAACCAGAATAAACAATTTAAACCATTTAAACTCTGCCTTCCGAGTTGAAGAATCTTCTTTCACAACACCCACAATCCTTTTCGTACGAAGAGATAAGCCATTACAGCACGCTCTGAATTTCGCTCAGTGGGAGCTATCCTAGTTTGGAATGCGCTTCCAGTTAAACTCATCCCACCCTCTTCAGTGGATAACTTTAAGAGACTTGACAAACACGCATTCCCCCGTGGGTTGCTATACCGCTCTCTTCGGCAAGCTGTGTCCGATGCATGTCTCATAAATGACCACGATTGTCATTGCTACATAATCAGTAATTGTCCCTATCTCTCATTTCCATTACCTCATTATTCCTTCAATCCCAATTTCTTACACATTATCGATTAGGCAAATTAATTATTTATCCTTGAAACAATCATCTCCTATGAGCACTTCAACTATCACTTTATTCTTGAAACAGCAAGATGTTCGAGCAAAGAAACCAATTGGAAGTTGGGACGACGACAATGAACACTTGAAATGATAACTGAAAAACATTTATTTAAAGCAGAATATGAAAAAACGTGCACGACGATTCGCACAAACACTTTGAGATTAAAACTTGAAACGTATAGAGAGACGAAAGTAACAGGATCTCCCACTTAGTCACCCAAAAGATGGTACGATGACATTTAGTCCTGTTATCAGGGAAGAAAATTATTGTGGATGTTACTCCTCGTTCAAGACGATGAAGACCAGATTTACGAGAGACAGCGATCGATCATAGTGAAGTGCTCAAGAAGGGACCTGACCATCCTGATAGGAGACCTAAACGCCAAAGTCGGAATGGACAACAGCAGTTATGAAGATATCATGGGACAACATGGGTTACGAGAAAGGAACGAGAACGTGTATGTGTGCATTCGAAAAAATGGTTATAGGTGGCACAATATTCCCACACAAACGCATACAAAAAGTTACATGCGTCTCACCACGTCACACGACAGGAATGAGCATCAGAGCTGACAAGCAGAAATACGTGGAAGAGCTAGCAATGGTAGCTCCAAGTTCTTTCTATTCAAGAATATTTGAGAAGAAGAATAAGTGCCACAGATAGACTGGAAAGACAAGTCATCAATATACCAAAGGAAGGAAATTTGAGCAAATGTTAAAAGTACACAGGCATCACACTGCTATCAGTACCAAGAAATGTTTTCAACAGAGATGTTGCTGGACCGGATGAAAGATTCAGTAGACGTTCAGCCTCGAGATCAACAGGCTGGATTCCGTAAAGATCGATCGTGTACAGAACAAATCGCGACACTACGGACCATCGCTGAACAATCGGTTAAATGGAACTCGTCACTATACATCGACGTCCTTGACCATGAGGAAGCATTTGGCAATGTGCATAGATGGACCTTGCGGAACATACTTCGACACCATGCAGTGATTAACTGAGGAGATCGTCAACATCACCCGGAGTTGATATGACGGACTACACTGCAAAGCCGTGCATGAAGGACAGATGACAGACGCATTCCAAGTAAGGGCCGGAGTAAAAGGTGAAAGATTTGTCTGTAAATACCCTAGTACGGTCGAGGGTGGGGAGAGTCCGCTCTCCCTCTCGAAATGCTCTCACATAACCACGCGTATATAGCCTCTGGCAGGGAAGTCCTACTCGCTACCTTCTCGTAGTGGGGGTGTTGTTTACGGAATGGAGGACGAAAAGCAAATGTCCGGGGATTTAACCGGGTTAGTCGACACGGAGAGTCAACCTAGGTGAGTTGGAAAACCTTGATTCCAAACCAATGGTGCACATGGTTTCCAGTATCCTGAAGGAGCGAATGACGTATGAATCAATCGTCGGTCACCGGCTACCATGGGACTGCATCTCCTTACGATGCTCCACTGACTTGTGGATCAGATCTTTAGGCAGAAGGCTCGGGGTGTGATCCCATAAGAAAACTACCTGCTTTGGTTTGGGCACCCGGGTAGTAGCCCAGCCCTCACACAAATCAAGTGACTTGTGTGGTGCATATGTATTTGCTGCCCCCCTTGTACCAGTATTTATGTGTTCGAATAAGAACAAAAATAAAAGGACCGGAGTCAAACAAGGTTGCCTACTCTTCCCATTCCTCTGGTGGTTGACTGGATCGTGAAGATCTCCAAATCGGACGGGAAGCACAGAATACAAACACTGTAGCAGCAGCCTCTGCAGTAGTAGACCTCAGCATACACAAGAGAAAAAGCAGCATTCTCAAATACAACACAGAGAACACAAACACAATCACAACTGATGGAGCTCACAAAGATGTGGAAACCTACACGTACCTGGAAAGCATCATCGATGAACAAGGAGGATCTGATGCAGACGTAAAGGCAAGGATCGGCAAAGTAATTACAACATTCCTACAGTTGAGCAACATATGCATCTCAAAACAACTGTCTATCAACCAACATCAAAGTGAGTATCTTCAATACGGACGTCAAGATAGTTAGTTCTACTGTACGAAGCTGAAACTTCCAGAACTACCGCAATCATCATCAAGAAGGTAGAAATATTTATAAACTATTGTCTACGTAAGATACTCAGTATATGTTGACCGGATGCCATTAGTAACAGACTACTGTGGGAGGGAACAAATCAGCTTCCAGATGAGGAGGAAATCTGGAAAAGACGTAGGAAGTGGATAGGATATATATTACGAAGACCAGCAAACTGCATGACAAAGCAAGTGCTAAATTCGAAACCTGAATGGAAATGGAAAAGAAGATGACCAAAGAACACCGTACCGGCATTCGAAAGCAGACATGAAAAGGATGAATAGCAACTGGGAAGGATTATCCAGGACATAGTTGAATGGAGAATGCTGGTGAGTGGCCTATACTCCTTCACTAGGGGCAATAGGCGTAAGTAAGTTTACCAATCAACCACATCTTAAAGTTGTGAATTTCTGGAGAGGTCCAACAGCTTAAATATATTCAACAGAATGTATGGTACATTTTGAAAACAAAGTGGGAAGTAGAGATATCTTATTCGTAAGTTCTTGTCAGACACTTATGTTTGCGGTACAAAATGCTTATTCAGTGAAAAATTAAGTTTGAGAATGACTAAATCGAATAACCTGTCAACTAATCTCTGACGATAAATTATATACAAGGATGTTTTATTTGAGAACTCAAAAAATCTTGAAAATTAAGACACGAGTTTGAGCCTTTCCAATATTATTTGACTATCCACAAATATTCTTTCAAACAAAACTTGATTATGTTATGATTGTAAAGATAGTCATAAAAATTTATTTCTAAACTCACCTTGTACCGAACCAACAGTTGCTGATTCTGACATTCCGGTTGCAGCAAAGATGCCCGATTTACAAAAACTTCAGCTTCTTGAATTTCATGAATTTTCAAGAAATATTCGGCTATTCTCAAATAGATGTCCAATTTATAATTTACTCCATAGACTCTATTTAAAATGTCATTTCGAAAAACACAAATAGTAAGAATCAACAAATGTTATGGCATCGTTTATGAAGAAAAGATATACACCGAATGAAATGTTAACATGCTGAAATATATTAACAATGTACTAGATGGAGACTTTAGTGTTCATTGAAAAAGTCATCAATTGATGTTTTTAAAATGTACAGCAGATCGTTAGGATGTTAAACAAATGGAGTACCTACGCACAAACTGCAAAATATATTTGATTTGTGGGATCAAACATTATATTATACCTCGATGTTATATTGTCACTACATACTATTGCTTTAAATGTTTGACAATGAACGAAACCAGTCGACTCTAGAATTTGAGTATAGAATTGGTGGTTACCAATTATTTAAAAAAACTACGTTTCCTCTTCTAAGTATGCAAGTGGATTTACACAGAAAGAATTAAAGGCAGCTTGTTGAGAATACAGTAAACGAATTCCAACGCACATATGCTGACTGCATTTAATATTCTGCTGATAAACTAACACACAAAACTATAAGTTTGATACAAATATATTTGACAAGTTTAATGACTAAATATATTCGCAAGGAATTTTTGAAAATAAAGAACATTTAAGCTGTTTTTTAAGTATATACAAATTTCAAAAAACCTTGTACATTGCAGTTAGTCGTTGTAAACCACCCGTTTTTCACAAATGGATCCAACAATTTAGTTTCTCAAACAAATCTTGTTTTGATGGGATTCGATTATGGAAATTTATAGATTAGTTACAATTTCAGATGAATAAACAGAAGTTAAAAAAAGAATAACCAATAGCAAAAGAAGCAGAAATTTTCTGGCCGAAGAGTCAGGAGTTAAATTTTAATGATAATTATATGTTGGTATGTAAATGAAGTCAGTCAGTCAGCTACAACCAGGACCAGGCACATATATTCATCGGTCCAAGTTGTCAGTACTCCTTGGTACACCAAGATAATCAAATTCAGAGGCATTTACGTCAGTCAGTCAGTAACAACGTAGAACTTCGTACGTACGTACATCAGTTCGAGCTGCCACACCACATTAGCACAGAGCAGTTGTCGATTCAAATCCCGTAAAGGTAGAGGTAATAAGAGTATAAGCAGTAATCGGGAAGATTAGTGTTTAGAGATGTTACTTAAAGAGTGTAATACAGTGAAATAAATTTGGGAAGAGAAAAAAAAGAGACAAGGGAGGATCAGGAGATCAAAATTTGAGAGAACACAAAGAGTGTATGCACCTGCGCCATTGAGAACGATTTTGAGCCATGTCATTCAGGGTCTCCAACCATCGGTTGCTATCATCTCGCGGTCTCCAACCAGGTAGTCTACACCTACCGACATGACTCAGACCACTTGTCAGTGACTTCATGGACTTGTGCCATGTTTTGGTTTGGCCGCACCTACCTTTCTTCCAATCTACTCCTATAACACTGAACATCGCACGTCGAGGCAGTCGGTCGTTGAGCATACGTAACACGTGTCCCAGCCATCTCAACTGATGAAGTTTAACTACGTCATCAATTGATTTGCCATCCTTACCTAGTACCCGTTTCCTAACAACTGCATTACTTACTCGATGGTCCCAGGATATACGAGCAATATTTCGAAGACACCTATGATCAAATACTACGAATATCCTCTACTCTTACCGGCCATGTTTCACTGCCATAAAGTAGGACGGAACGAACTGCTGCGCAGTAAACACGTCCTTTGGTTGATAGACGGATATCTCGCCTACGCCATAAATGACGCAGTTGGTAAAGGCTAGTCGAACCTTCTGTATCCGTGCTGAGATTTCGTCACACACCAGACCACAAGGGCTGATGAGGCTTCCGAGATAAGTGAAGTGATCGACACGCTCAATTACTTCACCCCTATCATTAGTTCGAGTGTCAATGCCACCCAATCCTGAAGCAACATTTTACATTTCGAGGGAGAGAATCGCATTCCGAAAATGCTTGCATTGTTGCTTAGAGTGGTCAGAAGACTCTGCATTTTGTCAGCGTCTTCACCAAATAAAACTATGTCATCAGCATATTCTAAGTCAACAAGTGAACCTCCCGGTAGAAGTTCAACCCCTGGAAATTTAGATGAGGAGAGTGTTATCTCTAAAAGTACGTCAATGACAAAGTTGAACAAGAATGGAGAGAGTGGACAGCCCTGACGAACACCACTTGAGGTAATCGATTCTGATGACAGTTCGCCATAAGCTCTCATTCTACCAGTTGTGTTCGAGTAGAGAGCCTGTATAAGGTTAATGTACTTCTTTGGTACTCCTTTCAGTGACAAACACTGCCATAGAACCTTACGATCAACAGAGTCGAATGCCGCCTTAAGGTCGAGAAATACTACCATTGTGGGGCGTCTGAACGTGTGTCTATGTTCTAGAACCTGACGTAGTGTGAATATCTGATCTACACAATCATGTCCAGATCGAAAACCAGCCTGACTTTCTCTAGTCTGCTCTTCACGAGCTTTGGTCAGGCGTCGAAGTATTATTGAAGCTAATATTTTAGACACTATTTTAGTCAAACTGATTCCTCTGTGATTGTCACAAGAGGACTTTTGTCCTTTCTTAAAAACTGGCACAATCAGTGATTGAGACCAGTCAGATGGGATTACGTCCAGTTCCCGAATTCTACCTAAAACCTCAGTTAATCTCACTGCTAATACTGAGCTACCATCCTTAAAAATCTCAGGAGTAAACCTGTCAGGGCCTGCAGTTACGTCAGTGATTGCAAAAAAGGATTTCATACAACGATATGATACAGGGAGGAAGAATTAGTCGATAGAAGTCAGTCAGCTACAACGTAGGACCAGGCACATATATGCATCGGACCAAGTTGCCATACCTCATTAACACAAGATGGACACTGGATTCGATAGAAAGAAAAGTATAAAGCAAATTTAGTCTCACAGTTTAAGGGAGGATAAAGAGTGTATACACGCACGCCATTGTGATCGATTCTGAGCCATGTCACTCAGTCTCTAACCATTGGTTACGATAGTCACGCGGACCCCAACCAAGTAGTCTGTATCTGCCAACATGACTTAAACCAGAAGTTAGTGACTTTATGGATTGATGCCACATTTGGATTGACCGCCCTAACCGTATCCAGCACTGCACATAGTTGTAGTCGGTTGTTGGACATACGCAATACGTGGTCCAACCATCTCAGTCGATGAAGATACACAACCTTGTCAACTGATTTACCATAATTCCCTAATACTATGCGTCTAACCTCACTATTACTTACCCGATGATCCCAGAAGATGCGAGTGTTATTTCTAAGACATCTGTGATCAAATACTAGTAACTTACGAGTACCCTCTACCTTCAATGGCCATTTTTCGCAACCGTAAAGTCAAAACGAACTGCTGCGCAGTATACTTATCCCTTAATTTATAGACGGATATCTCACCTCCACTATAGGTGGCTTAAGTTGGAAGAAGCCAAACGAGCTTTTTGAATCTGTGTAGAAATTTGGTCGGACAAAAACACATTAGGGTTGTTCAAACTTCCAAGATAAGTGGAGTTATCGACACGTTCGACTGCTTCACTCCCTATCCTTATTTCAGGTGTTAATGCAGGCCAGTCCTGAAGCAACAACTTGCATTTGGAAGGGTAGAAACACATCCCATACATTCTGAGTTTCTCAATGCTACGAAAATGTATTTTATCAGCATCTTCCTCATACAGGATTATATCATCTGCGTACTCTAACTCAATAAGTGGACCTCTTGGTAGGGGATCAATCCCCGAAAATCCAGTCGACAAGGACGTTATTTCCAGCAGTAAGTTTTTGATGAAAATGAACGAAAATGGAGATAGTGAACAGTTTTGCCGGACACCACTTGAGGTAATTAAGATCCGAAAGAAGTTGAATAACAATATTCCAGTAAGATTATGTGCAAATATGAAAGCTAAGAAAGATAAAAACTACACTTGTAATCAAAAGCAATCGGTTTCGAAATCAATGAAACCATGATAAATTGACAGTAGTGAGAAACTAGGCTTTAAATTTCTGTATGTACAAAACCAGGATAAGGAAGAAACAAAAAGTTCGATCTACTTGTATGAATAGTGGTTTACGTATTCAAACAGAAACACAAAAGCCACCGTCTTTAATATTATATCCTACTACATCGTATCGCCTGACCAATTCAGATTGCTTAACTACAAAACACTATTGAATGAATTTATATTCATACATACATCTGTTTTCCACAAAGAATTAGAATTAATAAACCCTCAGAACAAATCCTTAAACTTTCCTTCATAATAAACAGTCCAGTTCAGAGAACTGAGCATCTACATTAAACACCAAACTATTCACAAACTTGAATGCGCAAAAATCACTTACCGTTGTCCACTCTCTAATGGTATATCAGACAAAACAGTAGCGGCTTCGCGAAGGTTTCCCACAGCTTCTAATCGCTTAGAAAGTGAATCACGTAGTTCAACCAACTACAATTATTTTTAAGTTGTAAAATACAAAAACGTACTTGAGATTCAAAAGCAATATTTCTTGATTGCATTCGAGAAAGTAGAATTTGCAATGCACTAATCGCTAAAGAATTATCAGGAACTTGATTCACAAAGTTTATAAGTTCATCACAAAACTTCCTGGCCGCTATAACTGTCACCATATCCTGAGAAACTGTAACCAATAATAGGTAAAATGTTACTACTTGTGTTGACGATTGTAGTTATATCAGCTAGTAAACTATCGGAAGACTGAGGAAGAGATTTGAGCAAGTTTGAAAACCTGCAAGGAAATCAAAATTTTTAGTTTATTTTGCAACAAACTTTTCCGTAGCTTCTTTTGGTGATTTGCAAGTAGTGATTTCAGAAAGAATAGTACTTAGATTCTCCGCCATATTTAAAACAGACCCGTAACCCTGTCACAATAAAGCATCCAAAAAAATAACTTTACACAAAACAATGAGGGTTCAAAAAATATTACCAAAATTATCAATAGTGAATAAATAAACGAAAAACAGTGGTCTGGACCACTGTTGTTTAGCTTAACAACACCTGTAAACAATCACTTTAAAAAATAACTCAGCCTCCCTAGAAGTAATAAACGAAAATTGTGTTATCCGTTTTGAGGGAATTTCGGTGGGTTTGTGCCATTTCCCGAAACTTTGGGGAAGACCATTGGATTTTTGGGAAAACTCCAAAATAGGAAGATCGAAATACGTATAAATTTTTCAGCTCAACTAGCTTCTCACTAACCGTAACTGCCTGATCAAAAATAGTGGCCCAGCGAATTAGTTAAAAATTTTAAATCAAAAGTCGTTCTTATCTTACCGTGTTACTTATTGCTGATAAATTACTATAATGACAGTCGTGCTAACCGCTTGTTGCGGGAAGTTAGAATACAGCGCCAAACAGCATATAGTTGTCTAAGGTCTCAGTGCACAACAAATGTGAACTGATTTTTCCTTATCTTTAAATTGTCCAGATAGTAGTTCTTCTTTTAAAACTAGTGAATCCGTTTACTTACTTCAGTTCTAAAGTGTCACCGCTTTTTATCGCTCTCCATATCTTGACATTGTCAGCATACGACGAAACCGATGATGATAGGAGACTAGGAAGATCATTTACATACAGGAGAAACAACACTGTCTCCCAAGCTGTGCTCTAGAGAAACCTGCTAAGCACACTTTTCTAGCTAGACAACTTTGAGTTTACCCTTGCCATTTGTTAATGCCCAATTAGGAAGTTCCTTGTCAGTCTTCAGTTATAAGGATAGGAAGTCTATCGACCTATATTAATCCTTGCAGTTTGTAACACTGTAGAGGTCTAATCTCGTTTCGAATATATTAACATAAGGTGCTGATATTACGTGTTTCGGTTGAGAATTCCAATAATTCACTACTCAGTGCGAGAAACAAAACTCCAGACGTAAACAATTTGATCTCGGTTTTTGAACTTTCTTCGAATGTCCTCTCAAATTATCAGTCCTAGACGGAACTAAAAGATAAGACATGTTGATACCAAGGTCATTGTCCAGTATACGATAAGCCAATATTAGATCACCCCGTATTCTACGGTAGGATAACGGAAATATGTCAAGGTGTCTCAGTCTGTCTTAACAAGATAGGTCAGATAGACCTTGTACCATCTTAGTACATCGTCGCTGGACTCTTTCTAGCATTTGTGCTTCACACTTGAAACAAGGACTCGCTGCTTGAATTCCATGATCAAATGTGGTCGCACATAAATCAGGTATAGTTATTTAAAAATCTCATCATCTAAATACTGGAAAGACCTACGAATAGACCATAATACTCCATAGCCTTTCGTAGCAGCAGCCTTACAGTGAATAGTGGTTTTGAGATCACTGATTAATATGACTTCTAAATTTTTATAGTTTCTTACTTTGGGTAGCACGAATCGATATATTGTATAGTTATAAGATTCATTATAGTCTTCGTCTTCAGTCTTCAATAATAAGGATAGTAGGTTGATAAACCTGTATTAATCCTGACACACTGCTTTCCAGTGAAGGTCCAGCTTCTCCTTGAAAGTACTCACTGATGGGGCTGATACCACTTGTTCGGGTAAGGCGTTCCAACGATTGACTACTCGATGAGAATAACGGGACCCCACTTTAAGTTTATTAGATCTTGGTTTATGAACCTTCTTGCTATGACCTCGGAGATTATTAGTGCTTGAGGGAGCAAAAAGATAAGATATATTAACACCCAGATCATAATTAAAGATACAGAATGCCAGTATAAGGTCACCTCTTATCCTACGATTCGACAAGAGGAAAAGATTTAGGCATTTTAAACGCTCCTCGAAAGGGAGTTTAGAAAGGCCCTTCACTAATTTCGTTCCTACACGCTGGACACGCTCAGGAGAGTTAGTATCCTTTACCAGACACGGGCTAGCTGCTTGAATACAGTACTCTAAATGTGGTCTTACATAGGTGGGATATGAAATTCGAAACATTTCCTAGTCAAAGCACTTGAACGCTTAGTGAAGCGATCACAACGCACGAAAAACTTTTGACAGCGGCTGCTTTGCATTGCGTAGTTGGTTTTAAATCATGACTTAATACTACTCCTAAGTCTTTATGCCTTGAACGCATGGGAGAGTTTTACCCTCAATAGTGTAACGGTGACTATTACCGTGACCGATGTGCATTAGTACACTAGTCCGAGCCCCACTCTCGAGCCCATCTAAGTAAATCGTCTAGGTCAGCTTGAAAGGCCAGATGATCAGCCTCACTTTTTATTGTTCTCCACATTTTTACATCATCTGCAAACAATAATGTTGACGACCTAAGTAACAGCGGTAACTCATTAACGTAGAGAAGGAAGAGCAGAGGGCCTAAGTTGGTGCCTTGGGGTACATCACTTTTGACCGGCTTCCAATCGGATAGCGTTCCATTGACCCTCACTCTCTGTCTGCGGTCACATAAGAAATTTCCTATCCACTCATGTACAGTACCTATTATTCCGAAGCTTGTGAGCTTCTGCATAAAACCTACGTGTGAAACCTTGTCAAATGCCTTGCTAAAATCTATGAATATCACATCGACAGACAGACCGTTATCTAGGGCTGCTGTCCAATCCTCCCTCTCAATAAGTAAGTTAGTCAAGCATGAACGCTTGTTACGAAATCCATGTTGCTCAGGAGACAACAGATTGTGTAAATGTATGTGGCTTAGCAACCTAACTCGACTAACAGGCCGGTAGTTAGATACTATATGTCTCTGACCGTCCTCAAATATATGGGACTGACTATAGCGTCCTTCTAATCTCTAGGGAGTTGAGCGAGTGAAAGGGACATGTTGAAGAGTGTCGCAAGTGGTTTTGAAATAATGTCCGCAAGAGGTGACAGCAATCGTGAATGTAACCCGTCGGGGCCCGGTGTCTTACCAGGTTTGAGGTTAGTTATCAACGGAAGGACAGTTTCCTCAGTCACTTGTAGAGATTCCATGGTTGGTGTCTCAGGGTGAGTGGGACAAGTATTTGTTACAATAAACGTAGAGAAGACTTCGCTAAGATAGTTTGAAAAAGTCTCAGTTTTTACTCGACCTGATTCAGCTAGTAATTCTGAATTTTCGTGTAACAGTAACTGGGGAATACCATCAATACGTTTCGTCCGCCGTTTAACATACGAAAACAATCGTTTCGGACAAGTACAGTTATCATATACTAACTTTCGTTCGTGAGTGGTACGGGATTTGGCTATGGTTTTCTTACAGATATTACGGAATTTTTGGTACTCACGCTTAAATGGTTCATGATTTGTCAACAAGAATAAGTCCCAGAAGTGTTCCCTACGCTTAAAAGCTTCCGGGTTTCTATATTAATCCATGGAGGGCAGTATGATAGCTTACATGCTGACCATGGGATAAACGGCGACGTTACGGACTCGAATGTAGCCTTAAAGTTATTCCATTCATCTTCGATCAATCCATCCGCGTCGACCGACCAATCAGTCGAGATAGCAAAGCCGGAATATTGGCTCGCCAGATATTGGGACGGGGTGGAGCAGATACGATTTTTATACCATGTGTCCTAAAGTTAAAGTGAATTACAACGTGATCACTGTTAACTAGTGGGGGAAGGTGCTGAATATCAAAGACATCCTCAGAGTGGCGGGTGAAGTCCATCAGTGACGGATCATGACTGAAATCAATATGTGTCGGTTCTGTGATACATTGTACAAGTGCACACTGAATAACGGTAGATAAAAGGTCGCTATCAAAACCACTATCTGGAGCTGTAAGCTCTATCCAGTTGATATGCGGTTCGTTGAAGTCCCCAATGATGAGACAACTTTCTGCCAAACTCCAAGAATAGACGTGTCTTAGGATAAAATCGTCTGTAAGACGAAACGGACTACGGTATATTCCCCCTATAGTCACTAACCCACTTCTAGATTTAATCTTACAACATGCAACCTTACATGTGCCACTGATATGAGCCTCCTATGTTGTTGATTGTATACGAAAGTGATTCTTAACGTATAATATTAAACCTCCCCCTTTGCGACCTGAAACTCTTTCACTTTTAATACAGACATAGACTGCAATGAACGGAGAACAGTCTATATCTACTGTGAACCAAGTTTCTGTAACAACGATTATATCGAGACATAATTCTTCCACTATCAGACTTAGCTCGCACGTTTTATTTCTAAGACTACGAGCGTTCGTGTAGCACACGCTTAGGGTGTTTTGGCAATCAATCGTTCTACCCATACAGGCCTCGGAAGCATTGACTTCCAAGACCTAACTACCCGAAAATCCTTAATGGTAAGGTTATTTTCGTCATTTAATTTGCGAGTCCTCAACTGCGTAAGAGCATTCTTCCACTTGATTTGATTCTCAAGCGGCCAATCTGGTAAAATACGGATATTTGAGTCACGAGCTTTTGGTGCGTTTTTCAATAATATGTCTCTTTATTCGAAACTCCCGAGAACCAGCTTCAGGATTCTTCTCGGTTTTGTCTCGCCTCAAACCCATTTGCCGAGTCGTATTACTTTTGTAATATGTACCCCTGAAACCTCTTCAGGTAGCACATTCCTTACCACAGACTCTGTAGAACTTATGGTCTACTATGATATTAGTACTGCTCTAATAATAGACCTAATCCTAAATCTGTGGATTTGTCATGATATGACTGCCTAATCTATAAGATCTTACGTGGAAGTCACACCATCAACTACACCAACTCACTGTATCGTATCAATTACCAATACATGACGTAGAACAAGGTTAGGCTAGAGAAAGAACAATATATTTAATATGAATAGAAGATATAAGATAACATTCAGCAGAGACCACGCCTGCATGGCCGAGCCATGCCGTTCGATCAACTCTAGTCTATTCAATTCATTATTCGCGCCTTCTCCATCGTTAGGTATTTCTTCGCGTTAAATATTGAATACCTATTTTCCGAGTAATCTCGTATTCAGCTTTGAGGATAGTGTGGTTATGGTCCAATGCCACTACACTACTCTCCCACCAGAATCAACGTGGTGTTGGTTCGATACCAAATTGGATGGGACTGTAGTGTGCCGAAGGTTACCAAGACTAGGAAGAATCCCCCGGGTGATGATAAGCTGAAAGATAAATCAAAAAGAAGACGGCAGCATCTGGTCGGGAAATACATGTAATAATTTTAAAATATCTGCCTTCATGCTTAACACGCTTACAATGAAAATTTGAGTGATTATTTGAGCTATAAAAAATGGGATTACAATAATAATAATAATAATAGTAATAATAAAACGATGTGTGTGTAATAGCCGTTGGTTGATAACTTAACGTATAGGTAGTAAGTATTTTGTGTTTAGAAATATTAACGT